TACTTTTTAGATAAAAGTAAGTTTATAATAAAATTAATTAATATATTTTTCTAAGCTTATTTAGAAATTAGGAGTAGTTTAAGTAAGCTATTATACCTTTTTTAAAAGGCCTTTACTTTATAGTAAGTATAGCAACATAATATGTATTAGCGTATAGTATAGAACATGCAGGGCTAGTAGTACTCTCTCTATAGTAGGTTAAAAGTCTTTCCTCTGCCTAAGTATCCTTTAATAGGCAAGTTATGTATAATTTAGAGTAGTTTAATTTTTAGTTTATTAAAATTAAAAATTATAAGTTAGTTATAGTAATATAGCTTACTATTTTAGTTTTTATAGTTAGCTAGTATTACTTTTTTTAACTAACTAGTGCTATTTTAGAGTAAGTTTAAAGTTTCTTAAATAAATTTATTATTTAAATACTTATTAATAATAATTTAATTAATTATTTAATTTATTTTATTTAAGTTAAAGTCTAAAAATAGCTTAAGTTAAAGTAAAGTTTAGTATTAAGCTTTTTATACTTTTTTTTAAGTAAAGATATTTTAAAATTGCTTTATAAAAGTATCTAGTTTCTCTTTATTTTAACTAAGATAATAAGTAATTTTAAAATTAAAATAAAATAAGTATTTAGACTAATAAGCTTATTAGTAGCTAAGTTATTTTATAGTTACAAAGTACTATAAGTTCTTATAGTTAAATAGAACTTATATTAGATGCGCTGCACCTTTTAGTTTAAGTTGCTATTATTTAAAGTAGTGTACTATAGTAAGTAATTTTTTATTATAAATTTTATAATTACTTTTTATAAGACTTATTCTTTTTAAAAAGTATGTAATAGGCTTAATAGTTTTATCTAGCTTAGTCTAGAAAAAAACTTTTACTACTACATAGTCTAAAGCATTAGCTTTTATAAGTATTAGTAGTTTAAAGTTAAAGTAGTAAAGTATTAAGGCTTTAGTAAAAGCTTTTTTTAGCTAGTTAAAAAACTATTAGTAATTTAAGTTAAAGTTAAATTAAACTTTTTTTTTAGTAAGTGTAATTATAAAGCTTACTAGCTATAAAAAGTTGTTAATAAATTATTAGTAAAAGTTAGTAAATTTTATAAAGGCTTAAATATTTTTTATATTTTTTAAGTATTACTAATCTAGCATAGTTTAAACCTTAATAAGGTTTATTTAGATGCTATCTATAAAGATTACATATTCTAAATACATAACTTTTAATTAGTAAAACTTACATTTATTTATATTAAGTTATAGACCTACTTTTTTTATAGCCTTTAGCACTAAGCGTACATGCTGTTTATGCTCTAAAAGGCTATTACTATAAATTAAAATATTATTAATATACACAGTACAGAACACATCTAGGTAGGGTTAAAGTAAGTTATTTATAAAATATTAAAAAGTACTAAGCGTGTTAGCTAAGCTAAAGAGCATTACTAGGTACTTAAATAGTCTATATTAGGTCTAAAACACTATTAGCTACTTATTACTTTTTACTATTTTTAGCTTATTAAAGGCAGTAATAATATCTAACTTTATAAAATACTTTACTTTACTTAGTTAGCTTAGAGTTTTCTATAAAAAGAAAATTAAGTATTAGTTTTTAATAGTAATAGTATTTAGTTTTTAGTAGTTAACATAAAATTAAAGCCTACTTCTAAGTTTCTTTATAAATAGTATAAGTAACACTACTAGTAAAAAGCTAGCTTAAATAAACCTTTTTTTTTAAGTTTTTATTAAAGTATTTTTAAAGCACTTTTAATTTATTTAGTAATATTCTATATAGTAGCCTATAACTAGGTTGTTTACTAGGCTTAAGAGTTATTTAGTAATTATATAAATATTATATTAAAAGCTTATTAGACTTATTTTAAAAAAAAACATATAATAAGTTATAGTAGTCTTAAGAGACTATTATTTTTAAGTTAGTGTGTTTTTAAAAAGCTAAAGCTTAGTCTATATTAGAAATTATAACTATGTAGATTTTATAATCTAGTTATTAAGCTAGAGTTATAAATAAAGTAGGTCTTATATAGTAGATGTCTATCTACTATTTAAGTCCTAGTTTATATTTAAATTAAGTAGGTAAAAGTTTTTTAAAAGCTTTTTTTTTTAAGTTTAAGTAGTTATTAAATTATTTTATATAGCTTATTTTAGTAAAAGGCTTAGCTTATTAGCCTTACTTAAGTAGTTTTTTTTTAAGTTATTAGAAAGTAAGTTTAAAAACTTTTTATATTAAGTGCTATTTAAGTGTTATTTAGGTGTAAGTATAAGCATATATTTTAGTATTAGAAAAAGTTAAAGTTTAAAACTTACTCTTAGTAATTAAAAGCAACTTTATGCTAATATAGCTATAGTTATCTTAGAATTAAGTTATAACATCTTATGTTTATTACATAGAGCTTAATCTACTCTTTATAGTGTTAGTAGGTAATTATAATAGTTATAGTATAAAAAATAAAACCTTTTTTAAGTTATTTTCTATTAAATCTAGTTAGGTAAATTATTTAGGTAAGTAGTGTTAATTAAAAATTTAGTTTATATGCTAGTTTTTTATTAATATAACTTATACTATTTACTTTTAAGTTAATAAGAGCTTATATTAAAGCTAATATAGTTTTTTATTATAAATATATAAAAATATTAACTTAGTACTTTTAGTTATTAGTAAAGAACTTAGCCTATAAGTTAGTAAAAATCTAGTGTTAAATTAGTCCTAAAGAGCAACTTAGCTCTAGAACAAGCCTTTTTACAGGCTTCTACTACTATAGCTGCAGCTATGTTAAGAGTAGTAAAAAAGATTAGAGCTTAAATATAAGTTAAAGCTTTTATAAAAATAAAAATAAAATAGTAAAAATTTTTAATAAGTACTAATAGCACTACTTATATAGACTTAAAAAAAAGAAATAAAGTAGTTTTAAAAAATATAACTATGCTTACTGCACTTAAAGTATTAACTTTTTTTTTTATAATTTTTATGCTTTCTAGAACTAACTAAAGTATAATTTAAATTAATTTTTATTACATTAAAGTCTTTATTTATAACTGCGCTAGTTTAGAGGCGTATTAGGGCTTATACAGAGAGGAACCTTATGTTATTATTATAGGTAGTAATTAAGTTTACATATATATTAAGGTTGTTTAGAAGGGGTTCTTCTACTATAGCGTGTTATAGTTTAGTTAAAAAGAAGTTATATAAAGCTATAATTAAACCTATCTTATTTAGGCCTATATTAAATATAAGTTAGTAGAACTTAGTAAAGTGTAAAGTAAAGCTTTTTTTTTTTATTATAAAGTATTTAGGTAACTTAGAGCTATTAACTTTTTATTTAAGTCTTTATAAGTTACTTATAAAAATGCTATAAATTAATCTAAGTTAATAATATTTTTATTTATTAGTAAGTTAATTAAGGCTGTTATATTATAGTTAAGTTAAAAGTAAGCATATAGTAATTAAAAGCATTTAAAAAAAAATTAGTTTATATTTTTTTTAAGTTTATATTAAAGCTTATATAAAAAAAAAGTAAGTCTTTTTATTTTTTATTAAATAGTAGAGGATTAAAAAGTTAGTTAGATTTTATTACTAAGTTAAAAAAGTTATAGGTTATAAGTAGTGTTAAGTAAAAAAAAGTTAAGCTATCTTTAAACTTTTAGGTAAACTTTAAGGCTAGTAAGTTCTTAGTTCCTACTACTATAATAAAAGTTAAGGCAGAAATAGACTGCTTAATAATGTAAAGCTATTTTTTAAAGTCTTTTTAAAAAGCTTTAAAGCTTATAATATAGTAGCTTTTTTATAAAGTAAGTGCTTTTTAAAAAGCTTTTTAGCTTACTTTAATAGCTTAAAGTTATATAAGTACTAAGCTTATTAGATTAGATTTAAAAGCTATTTTTAGCTAAAGTTTTAACATAATATAATATTATAATTATACATAAGTAAGGTTATAAAGCTTTATAAAGGTCTAGTTTAATTACTACATAAAGTATTATAGTAAGTACAAGACATTATGTAAGAAATAAAAAAGTTTAGAAGAAAATTAGTAATTAAATACTTAGCTTAAAAGTCTAAGCGCTTTAGGTATAAATTAAGCCTATTCTAGGTTTAGTTAGTGTTAAGGCAGTTTATGCTTAAGTCTATGTCTGTGTTGTGTTGTGTTTGTGTCAGACGTGCACTAATAATACTCTAGTACGCGTCTAATACAGTTATGTCTGGGATCCGGGGAGGATACCGTGACATCGCGCAGGAAATAATTATCTAAGGATCTGCCGTTTTTATGCTTACGTGAGCCTAAAAAGGCTAAAAGCAGTAATTCTTAGCTGCTAAGCCCTAACCAAAGAAAACCAAAGTCCACAGAAAGGAGCGGAGCAAGCTCCGCTAATAATAGGCTAGATATTTACTAATTATATGTAAAGATAGGATAGTAGACAGCGCGGATAGCACTAAGAGCGAGGTTTCGGAGAAAGATAGGAGTGTATTGTAAGAGAGACGAATCGCTGCCAAGCCTCGCTTGTCAGGATTCATGCTTATATACGAAGCACAAGTCATGTGACCTCCAAACAGGTCAGGTGAGGCCATACTAGCCTGTTCTAGGACATCCGGCCTTACACTTTTTACTATAAATATAAGTTTAGCTTTTTATTATTTAAACATAGTAGTTAACAGTTGTAGCTAAAAGTCACCATTGTGTTCCGCAAGTATGTCAACGCCTTGTTCAATGACAGTCGCGGTTCAAGCGCGCCCCCAAAGATCTCCAGTAGGACAGACCAGTAGTAACCTTGTGAGCTGCGCGGGTTCTAATTCGAATGGCGGAAATCAAGAGAAGGACTTCGAAGACAGCGGCTTTCCAGGGGCCCCTCCTAAATGGCTGATACAGGAGCGAAGGGGCTGGAGATGAGCTGTTCAGAATTTCACGCCTTCATGGGTAGCTATCCCCGAGATGCCTCTCCCCGGCCTATCAGCCTCTCACGTATCTTGCAATAATCTAGTACTCAATAACAATGGGCACCGGAATTGTTTCCATTTTACTTCACTCATTCTCTACTTTCTCTCCAGGCCACTCTGGGTCACTCCGTGCACTCAGCATTGCGTTCTTCGTCTTGAACATCCTATTTTTCATTCTTATATCTGTAACGACACTGCTTCGATACGTCTTATATCCAGCAACTTGGAATCTTATGCTCCGCCATCCCGTCCAATCACTCTTCCTTGGCGCTTTGCCTATGGGCTTTGCCACGATTGTGAACATGTTCACGCTCGTCTGCGTACCCGCTTGGGGAGGATCAAGTATTCAGGTTGCATGGGCAATGTGGTGGATCGACGCTGTGGTGAGCGTGGCATGCTGTTTTGGATTGCCATTCCAAATGTTTGACTTCCCCTCTTGTTCCTGCAAAACACATATTGACGATTTGGCAGGATGACGAAGCACAAAAATGCCTACGAGACCATGACTGCGGCTTGGCTCCTCCCTATTGTCGCCCCAATTGTGGCTGTGGCCTCTGGGGCAGTTGTTGCCTCCGTCTTGCCAAATCCGGAACATGCATTGTCGACGATAACCACCAGTTATGTTTTATGGGGAACAGGCGTGCCGCTGGCTTTCGTCGTGCTGGTGATTTACTTCCACCGCCTGGCCGTCCAAAAGCTTCCTCCCCCTTGGCCCCATGGGCCAAGGTGGTTATGGTATCATGGAGCTTGGATCCATGGCTGTGAATATCTTCCTCAAGACAAATACGCGGCATCCATCATCTGGTGAGATCCTCTATGTGCTCGGGTTTGGGGTTGCAATCATCTTGTGGGGCTTTGGTCTCGTCTGGCTATTTTTTGCCCTGTCTTCAATCAGTCGTTCCAAATTCCCGTTCAACATGGGATGGTGGAGTTTTACTTTCCCTATTGGAGTGTTCGCTATGTCGACTTTGACCATCGGAGAAGAGCTTCCATCGAGCTTCTTCAGGGCTTTAGGAACTGTAAGCACCTTTTGACCCGATATGCATGCTGAAATCTAGCCATAGACTTTCGGGGTAAGTGTCATGCAACTCTGGCTCGTGGTTGGGGTTAGTACCGGTCGCAAAGTTCTCTACGGTAGTATGATCGAAGCTCCGTGTCTGAGAGAAATGGAGAAGGCGAGCATAGCTACACGAAGGGAGAAACAAGATCCATAGATAGACGCCTTGTATTATAGAGAATATATCGGCCACTAAAGAAGCCCAGCAACATGAGAATATCTGAGTTCTGAGCTGAATGATATATTTATTTTGTCAGGTCTAACCCATCTCCATAAGCGAGTGGATTTATTGATTCAATCATACCACTGGAAATCATCTATGGACAATTTCTACTTAATAAAATCTCCACGCAGAGTAGTGTCACTATATCTATTAAAGCTCTCCCTTTCCCAGCTCTAGATTTGCTGTTGCGTCATTTTATCTTCCGCACGTCCACTCTCTCCAAGCCTTACGTTCTGTGTACGTTATCGACCTTGTAATGTCGACGCCTTTGCCCGTCAAAGTCGTGACTGAGGACATCTTCCTAGCGGCCTCCATCCAAAATGGTCACCTACGCCATCTTCTTACGAATGCACAGAGTCGATATCAAGACTTCACGATGTGGTGCAAAGTGGGGCCTGTTCTAGAACGACACAACACACTCTGAAGTATCTTGTCGAAGATCCATTCTTGGTATGTCATCAGAACTTGTGACCTGGCGGGCAGGCGTACGCCCCGCTGTATTTATTTCGGGGTGAGCCATTTCCTAGATATACATATTAAGTCACAGTCTCAATCCATTGTCACTTTCATCCCCAGCCTTCGCAGTTCTATTGTCTCGCGAATAGTGTCAGCTTCTAACAACATTTAGTTTCACGCAGGTCTCTAGTATCTCCAATCGGAGATTGCGGGAACTCTATATTACCGATCCAGTTATACTTACGCCTGCCTTCCTCTTCCCCTACGTAGCCCGTGTTTTCTATAAATTTAGACGCAATTGATATATCCAGTGCCACCGCACATTGAATAAGCAATGGGCCGTTCTATACATTTTGACATGTGTGGATATGATCACTACAGTATCTCTAGAAGAGATCGTACACGATAGAAAAGGGAAATTGCCTTGGTGGGGATTCGCCGCTGTGACTCTGATCAAGTACGTGGAGGTTTAGCTTATTTGGAGTGACTGGCGGCGGCTGTGTGCGAAGAGGGAGCTACGTGAGAGGGGAATCGTGGTAGTATCAAGTGGCTGCTGTAGATGTTATCTTCGGAAGTTGGAGAGTAGATGGAATTCCTGGGTAAAAAATTGTCTTTCGCATTCTTCATATCGTTGACAAACTTGACGTTATTTACAGTTTTCTACATTCGATCTTCCACTACAACGAATCTCTCCATACAGCAAATTTTCGGCACGTAGTTGAACACCATGATGCTATCCACCGGTCTACTTCCTTTTCACCGCAGTTCACGCCACGATTGGCGTAACCAACCTTAGCATGAGCTACCGGCTACCAGGAAGGCCCTTCTTTCCCTCTAATACTCGCTACTGTTATTAACTCTTTCCCTTCCCTAAGAGAATTGGCGAGGTGGAGGAGGGGTTTTGAATGATGATGGTGAAGTGGTTGGAGGTAGGAGTTTGGCAATAAAGATTCGGCGTGAGGTGCATGTAGGTGTCGGATAGCACCTGCACTTTCACACAGACTAGGAGAGCGGAGGCGAAAGAGGAATGAACTTCAAGTCTGTTTAGTCACTTCTGTGTGGGTTTCCTGACAACTGTACCTTCAACCACGTTCATTGTCCACCGAACATCTGCGTAGTCTTGAATGTTTCCAATCTTCTCATTCTTCCAAATTCGTATCAATTCTTATCAATTCTTATCAATTCTAAATAGCAACCCGCGCCTCGCATACCGTTCACAATGCGATATCTGATAGTAGGCCCTTTCGCATGGTTTTTGGTGCTAGCTTGCTTCCTATTGTTCATGTTCTATCTCATGATACGATGCAGCAGCTACTTGCCTGTATGTACTAAACCCTATCTAGACTGACGTACAACAATGTACTAATATGTAACAGAAACACTCTTTCTGGAACTCCACTTGGCGCAACGAACTCGACTTTGCCGGTCGCGTCTGTCATTCCCTCACTACACTCTGCATCCTTGTGGTGCTGGGAATTTGCGTTGTCTGTCGACACAGTGCCAGGTGGCGCTTCGGCCCTAATCCTGGTAGCATTCTCACGGCGGTGCTTCCTCTTGTTGCTTGGGCTTGCATGCTTGGTGGATTGGCCGTGGTTGAGGGATACGGCGTTTGGGGTCAGGAGCAAGAGCGAGCGACCTGGTTCGCTCTTGGTAATACCCTTGGTCTGATGTTGCTAGCGGCTTGCGTAGTAGTGGAGGAAATTCCGGCGCTGAGGGTAAATGTAATAGGACTGTGGGAGCTGGTAGCGCGGAGGTGTGGGAATTGGTGGTGGAGAGTCAAACAAGTCGTAAAACCTCCTGCGACGAATACGTAGGTGGAGAATATAGGGGGAAAGCATGCATATTCAGCATCCAGCGGGATTCCGGTGGACTCTGTCGTCTGTCTAAATGAATTCGCACGCTTCTGGCGTATTTTGTGGCAGCGGAATAGCCCTTAGACTTGAGCACTATTCAGAAAGCTCTGGTGATCCAATACGAAGAGGCAGAATACTTGTTTGCGAGCTTACCACTAAGGCTACAATGGTAGAAAACCGTTCTCCAGAGACCTGGTTCAACCTGAAGGCAGCTAAGCTACGGTCTGGGTTCGTCCGTAGAAGTTGACTGCCTTATGTAATCTAGGGAGGGACAGTGCTTTGGTTCTAGGAGATATTTTGGGCTTTGTTAGATGTTTACATTCGCGGTAGTAGTCGTCTCCTCGCCGATTCCCAACATAATTCCGTTTTCTTCAATTTCCTTCGATGATGTTCTAGGCCGACGTATTCCTCGATCTCACTAGCCCATTGCTCTATGAGCCTCCTGACAAGAATTCCGCTGACTGCAGTCTCCTTATCCCTGCGTACAATAGCCAGCCTATTAATGTATTTGATCGTAGTCTTGAATTGGCTCCGGAGGTCTCGCTGACCACTCAAAATACTCAATACGTATCAATCCCACAACCATAGTCGTGACCTAGGAGAGTGCCAGGGGACAGTAGATGATCATTGGTGGTTAAGGAAGGATCATGTAGTAAAGGCCCTGTTTTGGCACTCGCAGTTGTGAAGTGCTAGGGACACCTGTCGATCCTCAGGTTTGATGTGCTTGTTCGGAGTTTCGGCCATAGCTGCAGGTTTGTGATACAGAAGACAAGCGAGTGGAAGGCAAAGGAGCTTGACGAGCACTGCGAGAGGAACCAGAAGTAGAAGGACGAAACCCATTGTAGTTTGGAGATTACTTTTATAGATAAGTAGGGATGAAGTGGAATAATGCTTCCCATCCACGACTCTTGTGAATCAGACTGTGGATCCGTTCAAAATTTCCCCCTACAGGGAGGGGAAGTATAGCTTTGTGGGGAGGAGGGTCAAGAGTACAGCTCACAAGTTCATCGTCAATGCTTGTGAGGTCGATAACAACATATTCGCTCCGGGTCATACTTGGCAGCCCAGTGTTCATTGGTGGCGGTGATGGCAGAGACGCCAGGCTGATATGCCAGGCGACAGGCAAAACGAGCAACACGGGCTTCGCTCGACCGCCTCACCGCGTCGCACCACACAAAGTGAGTAGTGCACTAGTGCCGACAAGACTGCACTCGATGGCGAAGGGAAAGTGAGCGAAATCGAGTGAAAGCGGCGGCATTTGGGAAACATTTTGTCTGTTTCAGACGATTGGTGAGCAGGTCCAAGAGCTTCGACGGGATTCTTTCTGGTGTTGCGGCGGAAGGTCGGCGGCCCGTGCACAGAACTAAACACGCCAGCCCATGGCAACCTAGCTCGAACCTTTACACTCAACATCACCGCCGAGCACGCAGCTACTTAAATACCACCTTGCCTCTCTGCTGCCTCTCCATCCTCCCCCATCGCCCGTTACCCACCCCGACCTCAAGCCGAGCCTGCTTCAGCTTCGGGATCACAATCTCTTCACTTTCTCACACCCTTTCCCTTCATTTTCGCTCTCCAAACCCTCGTTGCAAAATGTCGGCTGAACCAGACCACGCGAAGCCCAAGGTGGATCTCTCCAAGTAAGTTTCTGTCTCACAATCGACCTCAGCCCGAGTTCCTCCTTCTGATAGTGTGCAGGGACCCCTCCGGAGCCGAGCATAGAGATGTAGGCCTCGCCGACCGCATTTCGGAGATTCGGCTTGCTGACCCTCCACAGACCGACGAGACTGCAACAGCCATCCTCAAGAAAAAGAAGAAGCCGAATTCGCTGATGTGAGTCCATCTGCGCTCTTCAGCCCTGTGAGAAGGAAATGTGGGAAGTGACCACAGTTGCTAACCGCACGTCACAGCGTCACCGATGCCGTTAACGATGACAACTCCATCATCGCCCTGTCGAACAACACGATGGAGACGCTGCAGCTATTCCGCGGCGACACAGTCTTGGTCAAGGGCAAGAAGCGGAAAGACACGGTTCTGATTGTCCTGGCTGACGATGACCTCGACGATGGCAGCGCACGGATAAATCGAGTTGTCCGCCACAACCTCCGTGTCAAGCACGGCGACATCATCTCTGTCCACCCATGCCCAGACATCAAATATGTACGTGCTCCATGAAAGCGAAAGCTTTCAACAGACACTAACCATGCTTTGCTACAGGCGAAGCGCATTGCAGTCCTTCCCATCGCAGATACCGTCGAGGGTATCACCGGCTCATTATTCGACGTTTTCCTCGCCCCATACTTCCGAGAAGCGTACCGACCCGTCCGGCAAGGCGATACTTTTACAGCCCGCGGAGGCATGCGACAAGTAGAGTTTAAGGTTGTCGAGGTAGACCCTCCAGAGTTTGGCATCGTTGCCCAAGACACAGTCATCCACTGCGAAGGGGAGCCGATACAGCGCGAGGATGAGGAAGGCAACCTCAACGAGGTCGGCTATGACGATATCGGTGGGTGCCGAAAGCAGATGGCTCAGATTCGAGAGCTGGTTGAACTGCCCTTGAGGCATCCCCAGCTCTTCAAGTCGATTGGCATCAAGCCCCCTCGCGGTATCCTCATGTACGGCCCGCCCGGTACCGGTAAGACGCTTATGGCCCGAGCTGTTGCCAACGAGACTGGCGCCTTTTTCTTCTTGATCAACGGTCCCGAGATCATGTCGAAGATGGCTGGTGAATCCGAGTCTAACCTGCGAAAAGCCTTTGAAGAGGCCGAGAAGAACTCACCGGCCATCATCTTCATTGATGAAATTGACTCAATCGCACCCAAACGTGAGAAGACCAACGGTGAGGTCGAGCGGCGTGTGGTTTCCCAGTTGCTTACCCTGATGGACGGCATGAAGGCCCGGTCAAATGTCGTCGTCATGGCCGCCACCAATCGACCAAACTCCATCGATCCCGCTCTTCGACGTTTCGGGCGGTTCGACCGTGAGGTTGACATCGGCATCCCCGACCCTACTGGACGTCTTGAAATTATGCAGATCCACACTAAAAACATGAAGCTTGGGGATGACGTCGACCTTCAGACAATTGCCGCCGAAACCCACGGTTACGTCGGTTCCGATTTGGCCTCGCTCTGCTCCGAGGCTGCCATGCAACAGATTCGTGAGAAGATGGATCTCATTGACTTGGATGAGGACACAATCGATGCCGAGGTCCTCGACTCTCTCGGTGTCACCATGGAGAACTTCCGCTTCGCTCTCGGTGTCTCCAACCCATCGGCTCTTCGTGAAGTTGCTGTTGTCGAGGTTCCCAACGTTCGCTGGGAGGACATTGGTGGTCTTGAAGACGTTAAGCGCGAGCTCATTGAGAGCGTGCAGTACCCCGTCGATCATCCCGACAAGTTCCTCAAATTCGGTCTCTCCCCATCTCGAGGTGTGCTCTTCTATGGCCCGCCTGGTACGGGTAAGACCTTACTCGCTAAGGCCGTTGCCAACGAGTGTGCTGCCAACTTTATTTCAATCAAAGGCCCCGAACTACTATCCATGTGGTTTGGTGAGTCTGAGAGCAACATTCGAGACATCTTTGACAAGGCACGAGCTGCCGCACCCTGCGTCGTCTTCCTCGATGAACTGGATTCTATTGCCAAGTCACGTGGTGGATCTGTTGGTGATGCTGGTGGCGCCTCTGACCGTGTTGTCAACCAACTGCTGACTGGTGAGTATTCTCGGCCACTCCTCGTAAACGCACATGCTAACTTGATATAGAAATGGACGGTATGACCTCAAAGAAGAATGTCTTTGTCATTGGTGCCACGAATCGCCCAGAGCAACTTGACAATGCCCTCTGCCGTCCCGGACGTCTCGATACGCTCGTCTATGTTCCTCTGCCTGACCAGTCTTCTCGCGTTGGCATTTTAAAGGCCCAGCTCCGCAAGACTCCGGTCGCTCCCGATGTCGATTTAGAGTACATTGCCGCCAACACTCACGGGTTCTCCGGTGCCGATCTCGGCTTTGTCACTCAGCGTGCCGTCAAGCTTGCTATCAAACAGTCCATTTCGATGGAAATTGAGCGCACCAAGGCCCGTGAGGCTGCTGGTGAGGACACCGAGATGGACGAGGCCGACGACCTCGTCCCAGAGCTCACCAAGGCCCACTTCGAAGAGGCCATGCGCTCGGCCCGCCGATCAGTTACCGACGTTGAAATCCGCCGATATGAGGCTTTCGCTCAGAGTATGAAGAACTCCGGTGGCTCAAGCTTCTTCCGCTTCCCAGAGGACGATAACGCACAGAGCGACTCCAACCCCTTTGGTACAGCGGGTGAGGACGAGGATCTGTACAACTAAGGGATCGGCTTTCTTCGTTCATATGGTGGGTCATGGGCTTGTCTTTTCAGGCGCTTATACGATCATCTTCCCTTTACCATATCATTGGGGAGATATAGACTGAGTTAGTAATTCCTCTCTGGTTTTCCAAACGAGAAGATGCAGGCGCCTCTTTTCTAGCCAAGGCGGAAGATGGAAGGTGGTTAGTCTACGAAGGGAACCTGCATCATGCTGTGCATAAGGGTCTTTTTACTCGGATATGATGATAGCGTGGAAATGACATGTATGCATGCTTAGAAATGTGTGTGTTTGTTGGTGTTTCTATTTGTGTGAATTTTTTGCCGCCGACGCTTGCTGCACGAGTGCAACGTGCAACCTAAAGATGGTATTTTCCCCACTTTCTATCTAATCTGCGACTGCCCCTAAACGCCGCGGTGTTCCCAACCTGCGCTGCGGATATCTTGAGTTTTTATGGTACGACCGGAAGCCCCGAACGCCCGATTACCTGGTTGATGCTTATACAGGACTGGAGCCTGGACTGGACTTGTGGATCCTGCTTCCCAACCCATAATGTGTGTATTGTACAATGAACACGAAAATAGATAGACTTTAGAAATTAGAACGCGAGGTAGTTGAAATCTGGATCTGGGAGGTTGTCCAGTGCAGAGGAGGTTGGCGCTTCGCATCCCAGTCTGGCGTCCCGATCTGAACCGGATGCGAGCATGTTCTAAATCCTCCTGGTCGCTTGGAATCCTCGCTCCTTCCTTGCGCAAATCTTCCGATGATTGTGGATGCTCTCGTCCCCTCTCCGGCCTACTGCGGTGTCTGCAGCACGTCTCCGCCCGAAGGTGCCCATTATTTCTCCTCCGCCTCAACCGTAATATCGCAGACCTTGTCCAGCTCCCTTCTCACAACCCTGACGCCTTCTCTGACAGCCCGCTCCGGTAGTCTCAGATTGATATCGTCAGTCTCTTTGTGACCGTTGGCGCCATTGACGCCATTCGACAGCCCGTTGCTCATTTCTAGTGCAGGCCGTAGCTTGCACTCTGCCATGACCCTTTCCATGACTTCACTGACGGTTGTGCATTCCCCGGATCGCAGCAGGTAGGTGATGTAGCTTCGCAAGTCGGATATCCAGCCAGAGGACTGCAGTTCATGAGTCAGGGTGGCCTGGATGCTGGCGATGCCGTGGCCGCTCATCAGGGCCGAGTAGATGTTGTTGCGGACGGCGAGGGGGATGGGTGAGTGGGCAGCGGCGGCGGTTAGCGGAATGGGCGGTGGGGTGGCCATTTTGGTGATTCTTTGCTTCCTAGGTCGTCGCCTCGAGGGACGGAAGACGGCACCTGACTGGACTCAGAGCGGTCGATCTGGTCCAGCGGTGAATATGCAGTGGGTGGTGATTGCCGCAGTGGGTAACTCGTGACTGCCGTTGGGAATTCTTCCAAGATTGCAGCTGGCCGGGAGAATAGGACAGGCAATACGCCAAGCGCAGCAGAAGAAGGAGCGATGTGTGCGGTGGCCCTCGCGCGCGCGGAGCAGTGCCTTGCAACAGAGGCCCCCGAGTGTTGCGAGTGCTACGCGTGCTGCGAGTTCTGCGAGTGCTGCGAGAACTGCGAGTCTTGCTAGGCCTGCCAGTCCCTGTGCGTTCTTTATCGCTCAAAGCAGCCGCAGAGTGAGAGCCAGAGCCAGAGTCAGGTGCATGCAATGGCAACCTAGCTTTATTGTTCCCGCATGGTCCGTGCACTATCCGTGAGGTCTGTGGCATCGCTGCAGCCGCCGAGCAAGGAGCGAATCTGCGCCTCGTTCATTGCGCGAGCACAAGTCCTCCTTCTGCTCCAACGTGCCCCTCTGTTACTCTGTGCTGCTCGACACCGCTAAATCTGTTCACGGCTGCGCGCTCTCCCGTCCTAGAGCCCTCCTTTGCTATTCTGAGGTCTGTCTCGCCGTCACGTCCCTTCTGCCTCTACCGCGCGGCCCACACAGTCCTTCACCTCTACCCCCTCACCCCCCCCCCCCCCCCCAAACCACCCATCCGCCTCCACCTTGACTTGTTCGCCTTGCCATCCTCAGGCCTACAGCCTTCTTCCCTTCACCTTGCGCGAGGCCTCTGCAGCGGCCCTGCCTGTATCTGATACCGGCTCCGCGAAAGCAAGCCTGCTCAATCTCGCTTCGTCTCAGCAGGGCCCTGGATTCACAACGCCCACGCCTGCGAGAGGCTAGGACCGCCACGACTCGACTGCACCAGCAGGCCTCTTGGAGATAACGCTGAGCTTCCCCTCCCTCGAGAGCTCTTGACGACGTCTTGGCGGCCATCAGCTATTAACGCTCTTCTGCCGACGTCGCCGGCTCCACGCTGCGTCTAGAGCTGCCCGACGTCACTTGCCATGGCCTACAAGAACAAGTACCACGACGACTCGGACGCCGACGACGAGTATGAGCGCAGCGTCGTCAGTCCTGCCCTGCCCCTCGACTACGAAGAGAGTTCTCCCACCGATTCAGGCCCGCTGAGTGCAGAGCATACGCCGACTACTTTCACCCACTCCCGAGACAGCAAGGGCAGTCCCACTGGTCTCATATCTGAGTGGACCGCAGAGCAGACCAGAGACTTTATATCAGAGCTTGGGCTGGGCAAATATGCAACCAAGTTCGTTGGTAGGTGGCAAATCAACATAATCAACATTGGAACGACAGAAGCTAATCCAAGCCATGCACAGACGAGGGCATTACCGGAGAAGCTCTGGTAGCGCTGCAGCCGGAAGACCTCAAAGAGCTGAATGTCAACAGCCTGGGACACCGGCTCACCATCCTCAAGGCCGTCTATGAGATCAAGGTCAAGCAGAATGTACCCATGGATCCAGACCACTACATCCCACTCTGTATGATTCCTTCTCATTGATCTATATTACGGGTACTAACGCCAGGGTAGCCGCAGACACGTCTGCGCAGGAAGCCCCACCTACCCAGGAGGATCTCGCCCATGTGATACGAGTACTCCAGAATCGAGATGAGGAGATACAAATGATCAAGTCCGAGCTGAGGCATTCGAAGGACGATTTGAGCCGGTTGCTGGATGAGAATAGGAAGCTTCGTGAGGAATTCCTACCCCTCGTGCGGATGTTGAAAGACAGTCAGCAGCCCTTACCTACCCCCAACGAACATGTCACATCACCGCCGGCGCAGCAGGAGAGGGCAGGGAGCAGCCTGTCGCGGAAGTTCTCTACCAAGAAGCTCTTCCTTGGATCAGCGCCTAAGAACCCATCGCCCACCATTCATGAGGGTCGGACACTGGTTGATAACACGAACCTAGATCCTTCAGCGGCTGCGCTCGCGGCGTCTTCCCATCTTACTGCTTCTATGACGGGTGGACAGCAGATGTCCCCCAATTCCGCACCGCAACCGTCGCCGACATCTCCAGCCTATTCGCAGAACCAGAATCGTGCGTACAACCGCTCAGACATGCCCCGCAGCGGACACCCCGACCACGAAACTACCCCGAGCTGGCCTAATACTAATACATGGGCTTCAGATTCAACTGCTGTATCTGACAGGAACCGTGATATGCGGAATAACACCCCTGCCCCGCTGTCGTCGCGCCCGATGCGGAACAACGCTGCGCCAACGCCCGACCCTAACGACCGTGACCGGGAGCCGCCGCTGTCTGGAGGCATGAACTCTAGCTCTTCTACGCTGCAGAACCCGCCGTCATCCGCCCCCGCCCAGACACCATCGTCGAATCCGCAAGTTGAGATCTTTAAGTCGTTCCGCGTCTCCATCGATGATCCGTGCCATAAGGTCCTTCCTGTTGCGCTCAAGAAGTACAACATCACGGCAGACTGGCGGCAGTATGCGCTCTACATCGTACACGGTGATCAGGAGCGATGCCTGGGCTTGAACGAGCGACCCTTGATCCTGTTCAAGCAGCTCGACAAGGAAGGCCGGAAGCCGATGTTCATGCTCCGCAAGCACGCCGCGCCAGCCGAGGGTCATGTCAGCACAGTTGGTGGTGGCGATGTGAGGAGTGTGGGAACTGGAGGGGGATTCGGATGGGATGGAGGAAACCGAGGAGTGCAGTTGCCTGGAGGTGTCCTGTAAGTTGTATCAAGTCGCCTACGCGTGCAAACTGCATTGCAAGAGTCGATTTACTGGTTTCATCCCATTCCCCCCTTGCTGATGTTTACCACCCTGTTGTTGCGTAAGAGTTGGAGTGTTGTACTAAACAAATTTTCTTGGATATAGGTTGGACTTGTTTGAAAAGAACGACGAGATCATGGAAGTACTGGACGCCCGTCTGAAGGCCAAGGGACATAATGAGCTGCACGACGCTCTGGCCCGCGAAGAACTGTTCATCCCGATGAAGGTTACATTCGAAGGTGAAGAGTACTTCTTGATGAAGCTCTTGACGGAGGCCGACTACCAAAACCTCATGAGCCGGCGCATGGAACGTGCTCAGAAATTACAGGCCGGTAAAGCCCCGCAGATGAATGTGTATCTGCGATGGATGAACAAGTATGCTTCGGAGAAGAATACACACATCCCGCAGATCCATAGGCAGGCTTCGCAATTCTACAATCCACTCTCGCAGTTCCACGGCAAGGTCCCGCAGTTCCGCAATCAGGCCCCGCAGTTCTCCATTCAAGACCCGCAATTCAGATGTCAGGTCCTACGATTCCGCAGCCAAATCGAGCCCTTCTACAACCTCCGTCAGCAGTTTTCCAAGCCGGTCCCCGAGAGGTTCAATCAAGGGGCCCAGTTTTACAAATGGGTGCCAAAGAATCCCCAATTCAAGCCAGTTTCAATTTCTGTCGGCAGAGCCACAGGAGGAAATGAGGACGACACCGGCAAAGCAAAAAGTTCTAGTCCTCCGACCGCACGGGCCTCTTCACCCGCTCCGGCAATCCGGGTTGCCACACCCATTTCTACTGTCTACGTCGCTTCACCTATTCCTACTACTCTCTCCTCTTTACCTACTACGCCCACCCGCGATGTTTCGCCTAATGCTACTATCCCGGCTATCTCGCCTCCTCTAGCCATGCGCGGTTCCTCGCTTATACCTCCTATGCGAACTGCATCTTCAGCTCCAGTGTCACGACCCTCGTCGTCCGCTTTAGTACCTCGGACTCCTCCGGTCGCTTTAATTTATGGTGATCGTCCCATTCCAGTCAGCACACGGTCTGCCCCTGCTAGGGTTCTTCTTGTCTACAATGTGTGGACTCCTCCCGCAGAATGGGCTGATCCTGCTCTCCGGACCACTCCCCGTGTTCCTCTACTATCCCACGTCCTGCCTACGTCCGTCCCAGACTCGCCAGTGAAGCCTAAAGGGCTTAGGGGCCGCCTATGTTGGAACCGGGGTTCTAACACAACTTGAGTTCGAAGGGAAGTAAGAGATGAGGGCTAAGAATTTAGTTGGAGTTCAGGTGAATGTACGTTGATTTGCTAGAGCTTAGTGGATTCCTAACCGACATGGAATTCTTCGACGTGTTTTATTTTTCTTGCACGGGCATTTTGATGCGAGACGGGTTTTCAATGTGAAGATTATCGACACGGTATTCTTGAGAGGTGGCCTTCTTGAATGCGTATTCAGAGGGTTGGTGGAGATGTGGACTGGGTTTTTCATTTTTATTAGGTGAGCGAAAAACCTTGACACACACACATGCACAATTCCCTTCACTACGATTAGAATTAGTGCAGGTAAGATACCTAAAGATAGAGCTGTCGGATGATGGAGATGAATGGTGTTTGTGGCGTATGTGTGGGGATTCATGGGCTGTTATTATTTGTTTCGCTTCTCTTTGCTTTCTCTTTTCTATTTATGGGAGGGGTTGCCGTGGATTGTATGAGGTTGTACATGTTAACTGATGTGGTCGAGGTTTTCATAAGGATAGACAGAGGGATCGATGGATGTTTTCTCAACAAGAATGATGGGTGAGAGACGGGTGCTTCGTCTGCTGTTTGAGCAGATCTTCTACTTTGTTTTAAATCATGTACACATTGCATAGCAGATGGCTCGCGAGGCAAAAGTTTTCTATGTACTTCGCTACGCTTTGTGGGAGCTGTCATAAGCACAGACATGGGAATGGCAATGGTAACAGAAACGGGAATGGCAATGAGAATGAGAAAAGGAAAATGAGAAAAACTTAAAACACTCAAAACAAGCCTTCTTTAGTGGATGTAAGGTACGATTGGCAGGTGGTCACAGTCACAAACGAATGAGGGTGCGCAGGTGTCAATTCCTAACCCCCCTGCATCCTTGCACGGATGCGATCGTCCATCGCCGAAGCTCAAGGTCCTGGTTCCTGCGTTCCCGTCCATACCCCCGCCCACATCTTTACCCAATCTGCGCAGCACCCGTGGACGTGCATACATGTCACTGACTTGTCACGACAATGTCCATCCAGATGGCGACCACGGAACTCTGGCCTGGAGAAGCTCGAATCTCGCACGGCTGTTTCAGGAGCGGTATGGAGGCCTGCGCTCCAGCCGTACATACGCACACGTTTACGCGGCCTGAAGGTCAAGGCTGTTTGACCAGACCACATCTTTATCGGATTGTACCTGGGCTGTTCTGTTTCATATCCTTCTAGAACTATCACGCACACACTCACCGATGGGTCGACGGAGCGTCAATTTACTAATCACATGGCTTCTAGATTCGGAGACAAGGTTCCCTATTTGAGATGCTCGGACCGGGGCGGATGTGCGGATTTGGAGAGGTGAAACAGAAATGGTGGTACTGCTGGGGTGGTGGAGGTGGGTTTTCGAGAAGGGCCTGAGACGGGCCTCTTAGGATGTTGGATCCAAAGAGGGCGTTACAGATTCGGTGGGAATACGAGCGTGCGAAGAGTGGATGTGGGGAGGGGGATTTGTGACGAGCGTTTCAAGCTGCTTGGGAATGCCTTACAGAGAACCAGGCCTGAGGCTGGGGGTGTAAGTGATGTTTCAAGGCGTCGACATGCTGAGGCAGCTAATTTTGGGCGCAGAAGGTTCGCTCGCTGGGAGAAGGAAGTTAAGACATGCAGGTCGAGTAGTGAGACACTGGTGCGTTGCTTGGCTTCTGAGGTTATTCGGATGTAGGACCTACAGGAGAATACCCGGAATCAAAATATTACGAAAGAACTGTGGAGTGATGGGGAGGCTGTGTAATGGCTTTTGGGTTTTATTTCTTCTTGGCGTCGTACGTGAAAATGGCTTGCAGGGTAATTGTCACAAACGCGAAGTGACTTGCTTTTGGTGTTTGAGGTTGGTTGGGCAGGCGGGGTCATTGGTGCAGCGGACAATTGGTGAAGCCAGATGTCTGCGGTGTCGAGGGTGAGAAGGGAAAGAAAGTCTAATTTGACTCGCCGAGCCGGAAGAGTTTCAAGACGGTGAGGTTAGTAGAGGTACTGCGTGTTGGTACACTCTACAGAACATCCCAGTCTAGTTCAAGATGAAGGTCTGGGCCATTCTCAACATACTCTTTAATTCCAGCAGGAGACGGGACACCTACATGTCCTTTGCCTATGGAATGGGGCGTTGTGCATTGCGCCAGGATCTTTGTCCCATATCCAGTAGACATTGTTCTGAGAGTCACCTAGACTTCTCCATGTTGAAGCTGTCCTTTAGGGTTTTGCAGTTTGCTTCTCGTTTTGAGACTCTACACACTTTGCTTTACTGTATAGAGTCTCTACCGCAATCTTTAGAAGCGTGCTACCCCACGTGGAGAGAACAATACTGTGAAGCAAGTCATGATCTCATATAGAATTCGCAGCAGTGCTCCTATCTAAAGAAAAGACCATTTAGTTTGAGAAAATATGAAATTGTAGCTAAGAAGTCGGTGCGCAATCATCATCGCGTCACGTAGTCATAGTCTTGTTGAAGAGGCACGATAACTCCTTGGTAGAAGCGCTCACGGAAGTCATCATCCTCCAGACTATATACCGAACTATCAAAGATGCAGTGAACGCATCTGCGCGTAGCATCGGCATAGTTGCGAAGTTCTCGAACATGGATCTTTTCCGCGAGACGATCAGCTACAAAGTATTCCGTCAACGGGTTCCGGTTCTCGTGGTCATCTAGATCATCCTGTGTCTCGAATGCGGACAGTGGCTTCCCGTATGAAATCTCAAGGAGAGCAATACCCAGAGCAAACACCACGCTATTCTTTACGACTCGAGACCTTTTGTGCTGAGTTTGAGGCAAGGGAGTTGTGGAAGCAAAGTTCTTGCAAATGTATGGCTGGTCTGTGAGAAGCGAGGGCTGGGCGTTGTTCATGATATGTATGTCTTTCATGCTCCAATTTTCTGCAAGCCAGGGTGTATTATGCAGTTGAAGCACGGCAGAAGCAAGGGTGAGAGCCAGTGTACACCTAGTATCGACTTAGAAGCCTTTACGCATAAACAACAAAAGGAACACTCACTTTTCTTTAATACCAAAGCCTCTGCCAATCCGACTTTCTAGAAAATCTCGAATGGTGGTATGCTTCCCAGTTGTACTTTTCGGACTTGGTAATGTGACAGAGTGAATGTGGTGTTTGACTGCGGAGTCGTTTAGAACACCAATACAATTTGCGTTCTGTTTCTGGCCTTTCAGGGCTTCACAGAGATCCTTGATCCTCGGAGCAGCTGAGAGGCAGCGGTTCCATGAATTTTGTACTTTAGAGGAAGCTTGAATCACAATTTGGGGCGGTAAGGAGGGATTTTGGGTCGTACTGTGCAAAGTATTAACACAGTTGAGCTAGTAAAAAGAAAGGCTACAAGGAAAAGTTCGACACTTACGTAGGATTTACATTGTCTGACGGTTCTATCTCTACCGCCCGCCAATTCCAAGGCGATGCCGGCCCTACCGTGCTAGTATCAAATGAGAACAGAAACTTAAACGTTGATGGTTGATTCATATCAGCTTCTTTCCGCATCTCGAGCCGCAGGTTGGCTTGATGTCGACAATGGCATACGCATTGTGTGGACCATTTAGCACTAAATGTATCATAGAGGCGCTGGGCATGTCTATGAAAACGTTTCCAGTAAGCAGCATTGGCCTTGCGTTTTCGTTCTAGCCGTAGAGGTTCCAATGCAATGGCTCCAGATGCTAGTGCCTCGATGCGACTAATGTCCTCATGAATTGAGGAGAGTAGTTCCTTGTATTTCTCAGAGTTAAGCCCTCCCTTTATGCGATTGAGAGGATTCTTAAAGAATTGATCTCGTGCTCGAGTGTCAACGACACCTTCTTGAGAAACCCAGGAGGGCTAGCACGAGTTAGCGTAGCTCAGGATCTGCAAAAGCTACTTGCCCTCAGGTCAGAGTCAAGCCGTAGCTTGTGGCCGAATAATTTTATCTTCTTGTGGATCTGCCTCAAAGATGATTTGAATGGTAGATAATTGGGCCCTAATCGGCCTCGCAGGCTTGCATCTAGGGTTGCATCTTCCCATGAATGTTCCTCTATCTTTTCCAACAAGTCATATAATTGAGAATCAGGAAGAGCAAGCGGGCTCAGCAGCTCCTCACAGGTATTTCTGTAAATGGCGAGACTAGTAACAAAGGATGCATGAAGGTATTCAAAGACCTCCCCATACTTTTGCATGCTCTTCATCGTGGAAACCTACAAGCATCATCAGTTGCCGCTCAAATGTCATAATGGGCGTTATCAATACTCCTTCAGCGTAATGCTCTAACGCACTAATTACAAGCGGAATAGAACCGAGGACGACTCCAGCTATCTCGAACCCAGACATTGTGGAGTGAGGAGACCTGCGGGTGAGGTTGGGGAAACCGTGGAGGAGACATCAGCATCTGCTGGTGCGTGGTCTGTGCGCTGTGGGGCTTTGGCAGCTTTCCCACTTCTCAGCATCAGTCCAAAATCCGGACAAAGTTCTCGATGGAGGGTTCCATCGCTGAAGCTCATTTCACCTGTGTGGAGTCTTTTGTTACCCTCCTCTCTGCCCTTCAAGCGACTCCGCACCCTGATAAATATGCACATAATGCTTTCGACAAGTACCAACTCTGGGCTGGGAATATGGGCGCCATGCACCATGGCCAGCAGTTTAAAAAAAGCCTGGACTACAGACTAAGGGAGGCCTCTTTCTACAAAACCCAGGCATGGGACTCAAACGGCCTGTCGACTCCGACTGGCTAACGAAACCCCCTTGTTAGGTGTTGAGGCTGCTGAAGGACTTGAAAAGCATTGTAAGCAGATCATTTGATAAAACTATTATCATACGGACCCGAAAGCCGCTCCCTTCTGCCGCTTGTTGAGGGCTGACTAGAAGCGCTAATTTTGACTTACCAGCTTGATAAAAGTAACACTCTCCCCCTTGTCCATAATATTACAAATGTTAACACGATGGTCATAGATCTAAAAAGCATCAACGAAGAGTTACCTACGATTTCAGATGAGGGTACAGATATTAGCAAAATCGCAGATGAAGACTCTCCATGGGAGGTGTCCTCTGACTCGGATGAAGGCCCTGCGGGTCACGAGGGAACCGCTACACTCTCCAATCCCTCACATACCTCAAAACCTGAGACTTCCATAGAAACCACGGGCCTTCCCTCTCCGCCAGGGTCCCTTGAATTCGTGGTCAATTGCCTATGGAGACTGCCTATCCGGCGCCCGGCTCCCCTAGACCGGATGCGAGAAAAAGATGTAGCGGACACTTCATATTTTCAGCACTTTGACATTATGCATGTGAGAGATAAATTTCCCGCTATTGACGAAAGAATGGCTATCCATTTGGGTAGGATGATATCGAGGCGACGACAAACCATTCGGTACCGTAAAAAGCACACCGATGCTCTTGGGGGGAAAGAGTTGTCAACTTTATCTACTCCTGGAATGCACCGCGTAGTTGAAGCTTTTGCTTTTTCAGACGATGGGCCTACCGAACCTTTTTCCAGTATTGCAGCTTCAAGCCATCTCACACATGATACAAAAGCCACTACCATGAAGCCAACCGGGGAGACCAACGAACGTCTTCAACTTTATGCCCCATCTATGCCCGAATCAAGATCATCTGCAGCCTCTGAACAGATCACAGAAGACGAACCGATCAAGATTCCAAGACGACCATTAGGAGCGGATGGGCAGAATCTAAAGCAGTTCATATGTCCATATTGCTCAACTGCTCAATTCATTACGTCAGATAGGCCTTGGAAGTAAGTTTAGTGTGGCCCTTTCAAATATCTGTGCCTCAATAAAGATTTTAGAAAGCACGTTTTGGCTGATCTTCAGCCTTACATCTGCACATATCCAGATTGTAAATTGAACGACTATCCATTCGAAAATAAGGAAGAGTGGTTCAATCACGAGACACAATCTCATCGCTATGAGTTGTTCTGCAATACCGAGGGACATGCATCATTCTGGGAAGCGTCCGGCTTCTTAGAACACATGAAGAAAGATCACGAAGACTGCGTGAATGAGAACCAGTTACCGGCCCTACGTCGCATGTTCGAACAACCTACACACCCAACATCAGGGGCTTGCACTTTGTGCCAAAAGCAGGCAGTAAAGCTCAAAACACACCTCTCGCGACACCTAGAGCAGCTCTCATTATTTGCAATACCCCAAACAGACTATTTGACTTCTTCGGATGCCGGCGACGTCGGCTCAGATGTGGCTCACGAGAGCGTGAATGCTTCTATAGGTTCAGGGTCTTTCAGCCAGACTTCCGAACCTCTAGGAGAGACCGCTGAGTCTCTGGGTGACTCAAAGTCAGACCACTCTTTCCGAGCTGGCGATTCGGAAATGTCTTCATCTTTAAGCTTCGAAGTCTCTATACCAGACACTGAGGAGCAGCTGCAGAACAATGTTGATGTCTCGTGGGACCTCATCACTCCAAAATTTCGAGAAGCACGCGCTGCTGTACACCCCTCTAGTCCGCGATTAGAGAGTCCCAAGCTGGAGCCAAGAAGGAAGACAGCCAGAGAAGACGACCCCGGTATTGGAACAATGAATCGCCTTTTCCAACAGCGGCCGTTGTGTGGCGCTTCGATTGGTGCGTTCCTGGGTCAGGATCTACCGCCTGTTAGCCTTGGCGGCATTATTCTCGTGGACGGCGAGCCCTTTGGTATGACAGTTCATCATATACTTGATCTCCTAAGCGACGCCAAAAGTGAGGTCGGAGACGCAATACCGCAAAAGCCGACAGCTGAGGACTTACCTAAAGGCCATGTATCAGCTCCTTCTCTTACTTCTACGATGCAAAAACTGGATATACCGCCTGCTACTTCTCAGGACCGCAATGATCCTGACCCAGGCTTAGCTACGGATCCTCTGTTGCCAAAGCTTCCAGAGGGCTGGAGGGCTCAATGGGATGATGCATCAAGCAAGTACTTGTACATTCAAGCCCATACCGGTGTCTCTCAGTTGAATATGGATAACTACCCCGCCTCCTTAGACGCCCCCTCGCATGGTGGCACACCCGCACAATCCATGAATCTGGTCAATAAGCCTGCGGAACGAACCCAAGAGGTTGAGGTTGATAATCGTGCGATAGAGACCGATTACCCTAAGGGTGGTAGTTCTGGAGGGCTTACGGGTAATGGCGCTGGTCGGCTTCACGGGTCGGTCTTGGGAGACAGAACTCCAACTGACTGGTCTCTATTTGACTCTGAAAGACATGTACATGCCGAGGGCCCCGAGGACCTAGATTTTACCAACGACGAAGGCATGGCTCCTAGAGAAGATATTGTTTTTGAACTATCTGAGGATGAAGTTGAAAGTGTTGATGAAATTGAAAGCGTGGATGATGAAAGCGACTGGGAAGACGAAGATAGCAACAAATCGGTAAACTCAACCAGAACTGCTGGAGACATTGAAGGGGTTGTGCAAGGAGAAGGAAGGGATATCATCATAACACAGCCCGCAATCGACGATGTTGCTGAAGATTTTTTCCCCAACGAAGACGACAAGGACGGAGATCACCTAGATGCGCATGAGCTTGGATATATTCACGCATCATCTGGAACCAGAAGATGGAAGCGTAAAGGAATTGTCCACGAGATTGATTGGGCACTTATCAAAATAAAATCAGACCGCTTGCAGCCATACAATGTCGTTCTAGGTGGCAAGCGATATTGCAAGAACCCGGAATCATATTTGCGCCTACGACCCCAGCTCGAGGAACCAGTTTTTCGGCGGCTCTATACCCAAGAGGAGGATGAATATCCAACAGAAGTGGCCGACAGTGAAGGCCTCGGAAGTCGCAAAATTCACTGGACAGATCGTAATTCAGGTCTTCAGGGTGGCATGATCGAAGCAACTATGAGATCGGTCAAATTCTACGGGCGCAGGTCATTCTCGAAATCGTGGGCTGTTGCAGGAGCTGGTGAGCTTTCTATGACTCCAAAGGATTACCCTGTCTACAATCTAACATATGGGAAGCTGCACAAGTGAATTCTGGTACTTGGATCATTGATGACGAAAGCCGGGTATGCGGGATCGTGATTGCGAGGAGCGAGCGGTATCGTGTTTTCTACATCTGCCCCATGGACGTAATTCTCGAGGATATCAAACGGACTCTAGGTGCTAAGACTGTTTGTCTTCCTCCCCTCCACGGAGTTATGGATGATGGGAAGACATTCTCTTTTTCAGGTCCCCCAAAAGATTTGGCAAAGAGCCTTCGTGAATCTTGGAACGAGCAGCACGACTTAGACGCAGACCAGAGACTACTCTTCTCGAAACATGCATCTCCTTTGGATAGACCTCCTGTTTTATCTTCCTTGTCTTCAAAGAGCGTTTCGAAGAAGCTGCCACGTCATGCATGACACACCGCTAGTTTTATCAACGGGAAAACTCGCATCGGAAAGCGATCCTGTAGAACGAGCATCATAGAGCCACAGCCATTTCGCATGCTCCCGTCTATCATACATATATTCTTTGCTTTGATTAGCATACTTACGACTTTCCCACCAATAAAAATATTGGTACCCTCGATCACCCTGATTTGAACAATATTGAGTAGCCGCCAACAATCATGACCTACATTTCCAGAGTAGAAATGTTTCGTATTCCCCACGGCTACTACTTTGCCAAATCTGAAGCCTAGGTTACTGGCCTGAGACGTGAAAATTCCGCTGTTGATATCTCAATGCATACCTTTGAAATTGAGAAATGGACCACATGGATATTTGATGGCGTGAATGATAAATTACTGAGCTGGAGCCTTTTCGAATTGAATGATATCCAGAAAATTGGAGTTTTGTCATCACCAGCCTTTAGCGTGATAATCGTCCAGTGAAGTTGAACGCTCCTTGAACCAGTTCCCCTTCACGGTTTGACGTAGTACAATGTTCCAGTAGTTTGGGACCAGCTAGTATGGAGCGTGTTCATTTGGCCTCTTCATTCTTAGTCTGCGTCCGAGATTGTACCTCCTGCTCTTTTTGCTTCTTCCGGAACTCCTCAATCCTCTCATCAACGAGTGCGATCTCCGCTTCCAAGCGAAGAAGCTGCTCGCTAAGCCTCTGCTCATATTGTTCATCTGTGAGAACTGTCATTGGACTCCATTTTGTCTTTGCAAACCGTTGCAACCAATTGTCTTTCTCATGGACCCCATCTTTCCTCTCCTCTGCCCGTTTGTGTATCTCCTTGGTGTTCCGCCGATCGAGATAATTATACGCATGCTGGCCGCCGAACCCAAATAAGGTAAACATCATGGTACCTGGAATGATATTTCTTGGGCCACGGATGAGAGACGCTAACAGAGCTCCAGTGACAGCGCCAGATATGGTGCTTGCGCGGACTCGGTCATCTAACGTCGGCGAAAGGTCATTTCGAGGGGTGGTAGGTAAATTGCGAGTGATAGCCCACCAGTTCCGTAGACCGTCAGAATGGAGGATGGAGGTCCGCACCCCCCAGAATATGGTGCCACTGGCAAACCATTGGAGACCGGAGGCAAAGGCAAAGAGAACAGGGGTTTGGGTGCGGATTGTTCCACCTAGTGCGCCGACGATAACACCCGGGACGGCTGTGAGATTGTGAGTATTTGCTTGTTTGCTGAGAATGATACTGGGAAATGTGCAGAGCTATGAATGCTTTAGATACCTTGATTTACATGATGCTCTTCGTGAGATTATAGCCCATCGCCATGCTCACGAGAAGCCATAAATAATGCCAGGAAACAACCAAGTATTAAGAGAGAGTTTATATGGGGAACGAAGTGTTGGACCATGCACAAGGTGGGCAGCGGCACGTGAAATCTCTTGGCGCTGCAATCAGAATTGTGGATTTCGGAATCTTGATCCACAGCAAAAATAAACAGGAAAATTGCAAACACAGAAGCTGACGCAGGAAAAGAGCGAGCTCGGGATTCACGCAGCCCATTTAGAAACGAAACCAGAAATTGCTCTTACCAGCAGCTCCTCCGATCACAGTAGCTTGACGTGCTACGTAGAAAGGATGGGTAACCTGTTCAGGGTCGGGCGGTGGTACCATCGCTTTTTCATTGGTGGGCCTGGTAAACAGGATCGCAGCATGCACTGAGGTCGAAGGGGTTTGCGGATGAATGTCCTGGCAAAAGAGTGAGTAGAAAGAGGTTGCGCGGAGAGCCACCCGAGAAGCTGACTAAGCGGAGGCCGCTAAATCGCACTTCACGGCTGGCGGCCACTTTTTCCTCACCAGGCTCGGGTCGACCTTTGACCTCCACACCCACGCCCTATACCACAGCAACCTTACCCAAATACAATCGACTGAGGGCAGACCCGCTCTCGGTATATTCTCAGATAGCGCGCGGTTTCTACGGCGCGTTGACTGCGACCCGCAATCATGGGTATGTCGTCCATTCGTGCGGAGGTGCCCAGGCAGACGTGTGCGGCTTCGTTCTACGCACGCTACGTGCGCATGGTAGAGTGCGAGAAGGCCATGGCTAATTGTAGTTCCTGCAGCTCCTAAGTCGAAGACCCAGAAGATGTCCCTGGGGGACTTCCTGGGTGACCAATGTACGCGCCACTGTCACCGCTGGGATGGCATCACAGACTGACCTCGCTCCAGCACTCGGATCCTGGGCTGACGAAATGGAGGACATGCCCGTGGGAGGTAAGAATGCAGTGAAACTGAACTTTGTGCGTTGAATGCTAATTTTTTCCAGGAGGTAAAATTCCCGCATTGAGATGTGCCCGCATGGGCGCACCAGGCTCAGAGACCGGCTGACTTCTTTGCAGACTCCCGTGGTGGATATGGAGGCGAGCGACGTGCATTCAGCTCCGCTGGCGGATTCGGTGCTGATCGTGGATTTGGTTCATCTGCCTCCCAATAATTTTGCCCACCCCATGCTAACCTACCCTCAGCGACTACGAGCGACCGCGGGTATGCTATGCGCGAGGTGCTCCCCCTTCCCTCAAAGCCTCCATACACTGCCCATCTCGGCAACCTCTCGTTCGACGCTACCGAGGGCGACATCACGGATTTCTTCAGCGGGTGCGAGGTCACTAATGTGCGAATTGTTGAGGACAAATTAGAGCGGAAGCCGAAAGGCTTTGGCTATGTCGAATTCGGAAGCCTTGACGGGCTGAAGAAGGCTCTTGAGTTGTCAGGTACACAGTTCCAGGGTAGAAATATCAGGATCAGTGTCGCAGAACCACGTACAAAACCTCCCCCCCAGCCATGAAGATGAGTGGTACTAACACTCTGGCAGCCAAGGACCGCCCAGAAACCAAGGATATGTCCGACTGGACTCGGAAAGGCCCCCTTCCCGATCTCCCAGGCGCAGGCCGTCGTGCATCCGACCGTGGCGGCGGATTCCGAAATTTTGATGCCATGTCCGATGCTGGAAGCGATCGTGGCGAGAGGAGACGACCTCCTCCATTTGAAGGCGACGGGAAAGTGCGCGACTTCGGGAACTGGGAGCGAAAGGGTCCCTTGTCTCCTGTTCCACCAACTGGGCCGATGAGGGAGGGTGGCAGGCTGCGAAACCACGAAGGACCACGTGATGGACCGCGTGAGCGCAAACAGTCTCCAGCTTGGGGTGAAGGCCGATCGCAAGATGGATCTCGCCCTCCTCGTCGCGAGTTTCAAGATAGGCCTCACTATGACAGGCAACCCACAGCCCCAGAACTCGACAATCAATGGCGGGCCAGGATGCGATCTGACGCTGCTGCCAAATCCCCTTCCGGCACTCCAGAGACTAGCGTTCCTTCATCTCCTGCAGCACAGCCCGCGGCTCTTGCCACACGTCCCAAGCTAAATCTTGCGAAGCGAACGGTTTCTGAAGCCGACCATGCTCCAGTTGCTTCTGGCTCTGACTCAAAGCCAAATCCATTCGGCGCAGCGCGCCCGATTGACACCGCTGCCCGCGAGAAGGAGATCGAAGAGAAGAGGCAGCTTGCCCTCCGCCTGAAGAGAGAGGCAGATGAAAAAGCTCGAGAAGAAAAGAAGGCCAAAGAAGCGGCGGAGAAGGCGGCAGCTAAAGAGAAAGGAGCGTCCGGAGCACCACCGACTCCAACCACTGAAAAGTCGAAGGAGAATGCTGCGGATGAGAGACCTGTGAACCGCAGTTTCGAAATCCTGAGACGTGCAGGTGACGGTGGAGAAGCCGAGGCCGATGAAGAAGGTGGTGTTGATGCGCCTGCAAATGGCAATATCGTACAAGAGAAGGCCGTCAAACCGAGGGAGGTTGTCCGTGACCCTCCGAAGCCAGAGAGATCGTGGAGACGAAAGTCCGGGGCTCCTGCTGCACCGCCTGGTTCCACGACCGAGAATCTCGAAGACGACGGTTGGAGCACGGTTCCCCAGAAATCTAAGAGCAGCCGCCGAGGAGGTGGTCAGCGTGCCGTTGCCTCTTAAAGTTCGAGATTTTCTACTTGCGCGGCGCCTCGGACGTGATCTCAGTCTTATTATCACTCCTACCGTGTATCATGGGATCCTCATGTCGTTGCACTTCATGTTGGTGTGCTGAGCCACCATCGTTCCCGACGAGATTTGTATGTCTGTTCGTCGACTGATCGGCTTCTCTTCTCTTAGCCGGATTTCAGGTTTGGTCTCATTCTTGCGCTGTGTCACAAGCATGCACATTCGCCTTGCTTCATCTGACTCTGGCACGCGAGGTAACACTTTCGGCTTGGTTAGATTGGCGGTTCGTTTGGACGCTAAAGTAATGGCCGCTGCAAGGACCATTACATGTTTAATGAGTGCTTTTCATTCCCCTTTCAAACCTCTCTCCCTTCTTCACGCCCACATATTGCTGTTGTACTTCCTCTCTCTCCTTTTCTCAAAAGTTTATGGATCCAAAATCCCATCATATGTGTTTCTGGGCCTTCGAAATTACCGGGACCTGTCGTTCTCCTCTCTCCTCGCCTTCTGGGGTTGTGGGTTACAATGTCAGGTTCGTGGCGAATGTGTTGCGGCGCGGAAACATTTTGGGGAGAGTTGCGATGAGGATCTGAAATAGACGATTGTGCTCGGGCATGTACTTAGTCTAGAATGCGAAATGCTAGCCTTCTAATGCATAGTGGGGGCGCTTGATTTGGATGGAGCAATTGGTATGCTCTGCAGACAGTGCTCGGTTCACGTGACTGCGCCTCTTAAGTGTCCTAGAGACCAAACGACTGTAGTGCCTGCACTCTATCATGTTCCACAATGCATGCTGGAGGAGTCCCTCATCTGCATGCTTCTCCTACCAATAACTAAAGTCCTGAATGACTGCGTTTGTAATCGAAACGCATCGATAAATTCACCAGGAACTCGCGCATCTCTCTAAGTCTCATACCAAATTCCTACACTTGTCGAATTGAGAGTCTGTATTCCGCATCCAATTAGTACGGCAAGTTTGCATCTGACCGATGCCACCATAATCTCGATGGAGCAGTGCCAAACGTCGATCGCTTCCGGTCCAGTCCAAGTTGCTAGGCCATGCCATTTGCCCCTCATACGTCAATCATGCAGCTTCTTCTAACCCCTACAACCAAGGCATAAATCCAATCTTAACCTCACGATTCTCCTCATCATAACCATTTACTTCAAGAATATTTCTTCGAGTATCAGTCCGAATTTTAAATGCCCTTGAAACCCCAAACCCCAGGTCCAAATCCTACGGCATTACCTTCTGCACCCTTCTCTAGCCGGTCGAGAAAGCTAGACAAGGATACTAAAGCAGGATCTGGGAGAGCAGGATCTGCGGGTGGAATTGTGTTGAGTATAGAGCAGAAAGGAGGTAAGGAAAAGGAGAAGGGAGATATGAGTTCGACAGCAAACGTCACAGGAGCACCACCGCCTAAGGATACTGTAGGACCTGGGTCGGGACCGAGTCGCCAACGCCGACGTCCGAGGAAACTAAATAAGGAACCGGTCGGCCAGAATGCGAATACAAACGCTCCTCCTGCTTCAATGTCGGCGGCTACGAATGATGTCACAACGGCAGCAGCTTCAACGATCGAGCTCGAGGCTCTAAAGTCGCGCGTGCGGGGCCTCGAAGCCAAAGTCGAGGATCTATATAAGAGTGGTGCAGATATTCGGGGTGCGAGGTCACCTCGAAGGAGAGGAAAAGGCAGGAAGGGGTCGGCAGAACAACAGCCTACAATTACATCGGCTACGGCCACGGACGAAAATCCAATCGGGAAAGTTGAAGAGATTGAAGAGGGCGGTGAGGAGCTATCGAAGCTGGAGGGTGAACTCGACGTTGCTAGACAAGATTTGGAATCCTATCGACGACTGCGACCGCGAAATATTCGCTTGAACTCTGGGGACACTGAGTACATTGAAGAAATTCCGAGGGATTGGACGCCGACTACGGAAGATACTGTGGATACAGGCGATCGGCAGATCACGCTCACAGGAAGTTATCGGATCCCTCTGCCGTCGACTGTAAGCATGGCAGATGTCAAGAGTATCCAATCTGGCGTATCCGCAGTGCAGAATGTGGCTAGGAGTTTCTTGGAACAGAGAAGGGCACCACAGGCCGTGCAAGGCCAAGAGAAGACTTCGCAACCTCCAAGACCTCGAACTACTACAAGAACGGGAAGAGGCAAACCGGCCTCGACTGTAAAAGATGTGGCTATAGAGGCAAACGGAGGGCAAACCTGGGGTGAATGGTTTGGCGGTTATAGTATGGCTATTTCAAGAGCAGTCAAGAATATCGAAGCCGAGACTGCAATCGAGAGCCAGAAGGCTACTGGAGTGCAGACAAAGGCGACTATGGCCCCGAAAACAATAAAGCCGGCTGCTGGAGGCGTTCCAAGGACTACTGGTCAGAGGCCTCCGTTCAAACCACGTGCAGGGAATTTGAGCAGCGAGCAAGTCCAGGGCCTAATAAGCTAAGTTGTTTGGAAATCATTCCTTTCGGTGGGATGCCCTTATTATTCGAGTAACACGTAGGATTGAGCATTTGAAATTCGTAGCGTATGAAGTGACCTCAATAAATTTCAATGACTAGAAGCTGTCCATGCACTATCCCGTGAAAATACGATCTGCAGAATAACTATTAAGCATGAGTGATGAAACTCTTCGCAGAAATTCCCTATAACGATAACTACACATGAAGAATCAAGGGAAATTCTTCTGTTGCCCCACTATAAAGGCAATAGGGAAACTAGGCTATCCTTTATTCAACATCTCTGTTGTTCCTTCTTCAAATTTAACCTTAGATACTTGCGTGATTATCAGGGCTCCTAGGATCACATGTTCACCACAATGCACACTTCCAACCCATCCTAGTCATGACCTTATAGCCTACAACGTTAGCACACCCATGGGGGCGCATACGTAGCTGGCGCACCAACAGTCCCCGTTGTCGTCGGCAGCACCTGTCCTGTATGTGCTTGATACTCTGAAAGTTGCGTTCTTATCCGGCCAAAGGCGGTCCAGTGTCAACGTTCCATTCGCTCCACTTCAAGTACTTTATCCATCCCAGCTTCCCCCGCGACAGGACGGGCTATGAATACACTACCGCCTTCTGGATAACCCCCCGTACCCGCGGTCTCGTACTAGTCAGTAAAAGCGCAGCCTGTCGACATATTGTTAAGCCAGTACGCAATAGCATTTGGAAAATGGCATTGAGAGCCACGATGCCTTTTACGGCGAGGTTGGATTGGACATTTAATTTACCAGCGAAGTCATCTATTCTAGTTAAGCATAAAGAGAAGATGATAAAAAGGCAAGGAAAGCCTTTAGCTATACAAAGCTGGTATCTGGCAACCGAGAAGTCAGTAGAATATTATTCGAGTTGTTTCAGCAACGGGTAGTGTTGGACGATATAGTCCTTATTACTGGAGAAGTTATTGTAGGCACATGCCATGAGGAACATGTTTCCGCTCTTCTCGACGGATATAACTTCCTCGCCACCCTCCATATGCCTAGCCGCATTTAGGAATCGAGTTCCTAGATCATGTATCGCGTAGCTGTTGGGATAGAAACCATCCTCCAAAATCTCGAAAGCTAGGACCAACACCATTCGGGAGTGCTCCAGATTTGCATAGAGAGAAAAAGGTATATATGGGAATATGGCAACGCAGGTGGTGACACTTATATTTGACGAAATCTCCTTTTGGAACATCAGTGGTTAGTTGAAGTTCGCCGCGGACGCTACAAGAACGTATGCACCCACCATTTGACAAACAGAAAGGGCGAGTGTGGCATAGCACGATTCGGCTTCCGAGGCGCCTGGGACTTCAATGCCACTTACACCCTTGGGGGAGAGGAAGCCATATGCGGTTGTAGGATCGAAGATGTAAGGCTGTTCAGACTGGTCGGGCCATTGGCATAGACGTTTTGCGACACGTCTGCGTACTTCGGATACGTTTCGGGTGTGCTGTTAGTGTGAGTAATAACGGCATTCAGGGACTACAAAGCAATGTCCGCTTAAGTGTGGAGCGGCTTCAGTAAAATATTCGATAAATAACAGGCCAGATATCCTTGTACCAAAGTACTCGTATGTTGTGGCATCAATCGTGATGAGAGCCTCTCATTGTAAAGGAATGCTGTTCCAAAAAATGGCTAAATTGCTACTAATAGTACTACTAACGGTAGGACTCCAGGAACTCGTGTATGGAGAGCGGGCTGCTGGGGGAAGTGCCGGAACCCTGGTTGGAGAGAAGTAGGGAAGCGAATGATTGCGATTGCTCAGTCAATTGGCACTCATGCAGCACTGGGCGCACACTTACTGGAGTCTTTTCTAGTTAGAAAAGGGTCCTGAGAGTTATTTGTCAAACTGAGCGCTAACATCGTTGAAAGAAGATGAATTGTTGTTACCATAGAACCAAACAGAATAAGTGCACGCGATCGAAAAGCTTCTCAGGCTTTGGTGTTAGAAGAGAGGAGTATACTAAAAGCCTTTAAAAGGAAGCCACAACTCTAGCCGATTTAATGTTAAGTCGGAGAGGCAATGCAAGTAGTCATACTGTCTCCACCATCTCACCATGCTGCTTAGAAAACGACACTTAGCTCAGGCTGGTCGTATTCTGCGAGACATTGAACCCAGTATTAGTGTGTCGAAGGTATGTACAAGCAGTACGTAAAGAGGCTAAGACATTGAGTAGCATATATAGTATGCAGAGTGTGTGGAAGGCGCCGTCGAAATTAGATTAGTAGATAGAAATTACGAGTAGAGGTAAGACGATATTTGAATGGAGGAAGACAGGCACGTACCCAGTTGCCTCTTTCAGCAGCCCCTCTGATTTCATACGGCATGTCGTCTCTGGACGGCTCCAAATCAGTTCAGTATAAACTTGATCACCCCTGCGAAGATGGGACTCTAAAGGTCTACGAGAATCGCACGAAAATACACAAAGCCGACCTCTCAAGAGGCGATCTCGGACATGGCGATCATCCGAGCCCGAGAACCCGGATGTCCGCAAAAGTATCTCCATGCATCACCACGGACATCATGAAAGCCGCTTCAAAGCATCAAGAAAGTCACGAAGGAGCGTTGTGACATACCTGTCCGTCCCTAATGCTAGTGCATCAGCTTGTTGGTGTATCCCCAACTCCTTGGGCCAGATTAGTACACCCTTCTCAGCGCTAGCACGAGGCCACCAACTCACAAATTATATATAGTCCTGGATTCTACCTCGATGTTCTGACAGCATCAGACCTTGAATTCCTGGCTATTTCAGAAGCACTCTCCTTTCAACTTTTCCGATAGCCACTATCCTTGATTCCGCACGACTTCAAACCCACCAACATGAACGCTCAAGCCGGATTCCTACCGAAACAAGCCAAAGCCCTGCTGGATGGCCAGCAAAAAGTTCTTACATACGAAGAAACAGGCGGGAAAGTAACAGCGCAATTTGCGTCTCATAATCTGAACTTAATTCCCTCCATTCCAGCCTCCTCGATCATTCACGACAACACGTGTGGCTCTGGCACCGTCACCCGTCTCATCCTGTCTTCGAAACCCCCCTCAAACATAGTAATACACGCCACAGACCATGACCAGGCCTTTCTCGATGTCCTCCAAGAAGACGTCAAGAAGAACTCCTGGCCCGTCGAAGTCACCAACCAGAAATCAGAAAATCTATCTTTCCCGGACAAGTACTTCACGCACTCGATCACCAACATCGGCATCTTCTTCACCACCTTAGCTGGGGTTGGTGGTGCAAAGGAAATTTATCGCACACTCAAACCTGGCGGCACCGCCATCGTGAACTGCTGGGAGTATGTAACATGGTTTGCACCAATCAAAGCAGTCCATGACGTCCTTCGACCTGGAAAACCATACCCAGCGCCAACGATCAACTGGAGCGATGGCAAGCAGCTCCAGAAGGTTATGGTTGAAGCCGGCTTTGAGCAGGAAAAGATGAAGGTTGAGAAGAGTGAGGCATGGGCGCACCCGAAGGACGTGACGAAGTGGGCTGAGCTGGGGTGGGCTTTCCTCGGAGGCATCGGAACATGGCAGGAAAGCGACGAAGAGAGATGGGATGAGGCTGTTGGCCTTCTGGAGAAGGCCTTGAGAGAAGCTGATGGTACAAAGATTGTTGATGGCGAGGTATGGATGCGTGCAAGCCAGTGGGTTGTGATTGCAACGAAGTGAGGCGAAAGGCCGCTTAAGGAAGAGAGGAATCTGAAGATATGTCTGCTCCTACACTGACATTGGATAAAGTCTCTATGGACGGTTTCTAGACAGAGGTGGGCTGGAAATTGGATGTTGATTGCAGGTTAAGGTTGAGACAATCGAGAGTCATAGATCTAAGGTGCTTGTTCCTGTAAGGTTGTGATAAGCTATGCGAGACTCTTATAGTAGATGGGCACTACTATGCCTTGAATTCATGGATCTTCTGCTGTCAAGCTGCAAGGCGAACGGGATGCCAATGGAAGCAGACCACCTCTATCGCCCTCCTCACCATTTATTTCTCCGATGGCGTTTCTCCGATGACGTATCTCCGCGCCCTCCCTCTTCTCTCTTATATAGCTCTGAAATATTCTAATGAATTGCCGTATATAGGTCCAGCAGTTTCGCTACTCTTCTATCATTCAAAACAGTATGGCTTCGCCTTCAAGACTATTGAACGCAGCTCGGGTTCTACCTCTCCGGCAAAGTGTTGGCAAAAGAAACAAGAGACACAAAGTGATAGATTCTTAGAGAGTAGTGAGAGACCTAGAAGACTTAGAAGTATTTGACAGGAGTGCTAAATATACAATGTTACACAACTTGCTAAGTAGGGAAGTGACAAAACAAGGTATTCATCTTCTTGCTAGAACTAGGGAGACTGTTATGAGGGTGCAATTTGTTGTAACAGTTTAGACCGAGGAACTGAGACTGGGAAAGGCACAGGTAATGTCCGTACCAAGCAGTAGAAGTAGATAGCTCTAACTTGCAGCTGTAGCATGCCGACTTGGCGGAAATAAGACCCTACCAAGATGCAAACCGCCTGGACGGAGACCGGCAACTATTCCCATTCTGCCTGTTTGCATGAAACAGTCTCATCCAGACGCAAAAGTCTTCCAAAGCATGCCGGACGGGCGGAGGTGAGGCTAGCGTTTCTTCTAGATAATGTAGAGATTATAGGTAGCGTGGATGCACTGAGTTTGAGGTAGGTCGTTGCTGTAATTATCATGGGAGGTGGTGTGTTTGCTTTAGGAACAGTGCAGCGCGAGGGGTTCAGCAACCTGCTGCGCCACAGGACCAAGATTGATCCCGTTGATGGAATGGCAATTGTGTAGTGATAGCGTAATGTGGGGATAGAGAGACGAGACGACAAGTGAGGGGTAGCACAAGAGGGAGTCGGGGAGTGAATGTCACGAACACGAGGCGCTCGTGTGTGGAGGCCGGACCTGCATCGTGGCTCAGCTCGGACCTGCTTGGCACTCCAGTTGGCTCCTAAAACAACAATTCACTCCCTGACAACCAACGACATCGTTCACTCACGCCTTCCCCACCACGCCCGCTGTCCGTCCCTCGTTGCTACTGCTGTTGCTGTTACTCGACACATTCACTTGTTCTGCTCACCATTCGGCCAGGCCTCGCAGCACCGGGACGCTCACGCTTGTCGCGCCGCTCTACGCTTGTCTCCTGTGCCGTGTTGTCTCATCGCAGCCGCCTCTCCCGCCTCGCCCACCATAACACCCGCTCCGCTCCGACGATGGGCTTTGGCGACTTCACCACGATATGCGACAAGACGGCGATACCGCTGTGTGCCCTTGTCGGACCTCCGTCGCAGATCAACAACGGTACCGGCATCCAGGCGTCATGCTACTCGCGGACGATTGAGCTGGCGAACACCATCATCTTCCAGGGCGCCAATGACTTCATGCATATTCTTGCGCTGATAATGACGGTTGTCATGATCATCCACGTGCGGTCCAAGTTTACGGCTGTTGGTGCGTCGAGCCAATACCCTCTGGGGACAGTATTAGCTAACAGCAACACCAGGGCGCAAGGAAATCACGTCCTTCTTCTACATCTACATGGTGCTGACTATGGTCTCCCTCATCCTCGACTCAGGCGTCACGGCTCCCGGAACCGGCGCATACCCGTACTTCGCGGCTGCCCAATGTGGCCTCGCCTCGGCGCTCTGCACCTGCCTGCTGATTAACGGCTTCGTCGGCTTCCAGCTCTACGAGGACGGCACGACCCTCTCGGTCTGGCTGCTGCGACTGTCCTCTCTCGGCATGTTCATCATCAGCGGCGCTGTCTCGCTCTTGACTTTCAAGGGCTGGGCTGGCCTGAGGCCCGATAACCCTGTCGGCATCTTTGTCGTGCTCTACATTGTCAACGCAATATGCATCTTCGTCTATGTCTGCAGCCAGACCCTCCTCGTCGTCGGCACCCTAGAGGACCGCTGGCCGTTGGGTGACATCGCTTTCGGCGTCTTCTTCTTCGTCATTGGCCAGGTCACCCTCTATGTCTTCAGCGACACCATTTGCAACCAGGTGCAGCACTATCTCGACGGCCTTTTCTTTGCTACCATTTGCAATCTGCTGGGCGTCATGATGGTCTACAAGGTACGTTCCTACTGTCTAATGTCCACCCCCCGAAATCCTTCGCCTCACTAACCTGGCTAAAAATAGTACTGGGATTCCATTACCCGCGAAGACCTTGAGTTTTCTGTCGGTGTCAAGGCACACAACTGGGAAGTCAAGGACTTGCTCCCCGAGGAGGACAAGCGAGGTACTGTGTACAATGAGTCCGAATATGCCCCTTCACTCTACCAGCAGCCGCACAACCGCGCATCACACTACTCCGCCGTTGGATACTAGAACCCTCCGTTCTCGCTATAGTCGATGCATATTGATTGTCGAATTAAAAATATAGGTTTGTTTATTCCGAATTCGTGGGTTTGCATGGCATGGGAGTTCTGGCGCATAGATGGTGTGGTGACATAAGATCTTGATAATCGGCGTGAATTGAGGCCGCAGCGTAGAAGCGCGCTCGGTTTTGAATAATGACGTCTTTGGATCGGAGTATAGTGACGGTCGGAACTGAAGAATCTTTGGAAAATATTCGTTTTAAAGAGAGAGGGAAGAAGGACGGGACGGCGTATGTCCGTAGCCAGCTTATACATAATAATCTCAGACATAGCAGCTTCACGTTTTATCACGGTTTCCAAAGGGTGAGACCCTCGAGCCTTTCCTAGGATGTGGGATTTGAAAGCATTCCAGTTCAACTCTTATTTCCTGATCGTTTCGGGGAAGGACTTGAATCCGGATTCGGCGTAATGCAACTAATTCGCTGTAACTAAACCCTTTCGTCACTATCAATACACTGAATCCAACTCTGTCATGACCTCCTGCTGTTTGACATGTTTCTAGTTTGCATTCATGTAGAGAGGAAGACCGGACAACCAATGTCGAGATCTTGGAAGAAGTGAAGAAGCTGGCATTGTGTTCTACATACATCACACTTGCCTTTTAGGCCTTCTCGATCGAGAGAGCAGGAAGCTTGAGTTCCCGACGTTAAAAAGATCGTCAATGCTGGAGATGTTCTCTACCACCAATGGGCGGCCTGGATAGATCGACAATCTCGTAATACAGTAGTTCCCCCTCAACCATTGAATTATACTTGTTGCAAAAGTCAAACCATGTATCTCCAGCCTACACCACAGAAGCAAGTACTGTGCCGAGACCGTGGCAGCAGCTACTATCCCTTAAATCCATCTAAAAGGCCATTCAACCACACGCCAGCCGCGTACGCGCCCGGATCTGGAATCTGACTCCTCTCTGCCCCCATTTCTTCCCCAACATATGTTGCTCTGCCGAACTTTGCCTTCATGTCCTTCGTCTCGTCAGCCTTCTCTCGCGCTACCTTGACGGCCTTGGCTAAGTCTTGTGACGTGTTTAGGCTGCCGACGAACGGGATCAGAACATCCATGACAGTTCTATCGCCTTCTCTAGCGCTTGTGTAGTTCTTGAGGTTCTCTAGGGCCTTTACTGCGGAGTCGGAGACGGTGGATATATCGAGAGGCTTGTTTGCTTTGATGGTGTTGTCATGCAAAGCGTTAGTGAAGGCCGTGACCAGAATGCTCAGAATGGCCCCTAAAGAGCCGCCTACATCCTCGACATTTTCACCAATGCTCTCGAGGAGTATGAGAAGTGGGGGTGGAGAGGATGGCAACGAGTCTAGATTTGCCAGTATGGATTTGCACACCCCGGCAACAGCTTCACCACAGTCGCCGTCGCCCATTTGTAGGTCGTATTGTGTAATCTTGGGTTCGGCTTCTAGACCAGCGTTGCATGCCTTCCGAAGTGCGGGTATCAGACTCGATGGCGTTGCAGGACCTTTGTTCGTGGGGCCTGAACCTGAGGCTGCGGCATTCGCTTGCTGTCTCTTCGCCTCCATTTCCTCGGAGTGTTTGATGGGCGCATATCCGTTCCTGGGCCAGGCTGGTGCGTTCGTTGGAGCATCTAGAAGTTCCATGATCTCAGAAGTTTTGGCATTCATAGCCCGCGCCATTCCGGACATATTGCCCAGCGTGATGGAGAAGCCTTGTCCATTTAGAGAAGTTTCAAGGATACCGGCGTAGATGCGAGTGGGTGCGATGTTCCAGTCGCGTTTCAGAACAGTTAAGGCTGTGCTCGTTAAGGCTTCGAGTTCAAGGCCGGAAAGCCCACCAAAGTTGTTGACTAACATGACGACTTCGTCCTCTGGCTTGAAGACTACAAACGCGCGGTCTTTATCCTCGGGATCGAGAAGGTATCTGAGCATTTCTTTGATGATATCTTCAGCCGAGGGCATGGGGGATATTGTTCGAAGTCCCTACACATTCAATCAATGACTTTGTTTTGACAGCAATTGTCCGAGAGACCTACAGGCTCGTTGTGAATACCCATTCCCAATACGCAAGCATCATCCGGGACCTGCTCAAATGCCTCTCGACCTGGAACATGGCAGTGATCCAAGCTGGTTCCAATGGTCACCAATTCGTCGTTACCCAACTGCCCAAGCTTCCGGCACTTCTCAAACGGCCAGTTCTTCTGCGAAGCGGCACCAATAAGTTTGATGACTTTGGCACCTCCCCGTCAGTCACTCCGTAGGAACAAGTATTAGGGGTAAATACCTAACAAGTTGCCTGCTAGACCCCTTCTTCCAACTTTCTCTGACTTCTGCCTACCCAATGCAGCATCCTCTGCCATACACACTACATCCACCTTATACCCCAGCGCCTGTCCCTTCTCTCTAGCCAGACCAAAATGCAGCATGTCGCCAGTATAATTTGTAATGCACAATATAATCCCGGAATCTGAGGGAACATTCCTAATTCCAGCCATGATTTGCTTGGTCGATGGACTCGCGAAGATATCGCCGCATACAGCTGCTGACAACATACCGTCTCCGACGAAAGCTGACCAAGCCGGCTCGTGTCCGCTTCCCCCCCCTGAGATGACGGTTACTTGTGACGGTGGATGAGCTTTGTTGTAGACGACGCGATTTGTTTCGTCGAGTCCCATGTGTCTGTTCCGGGAGACAAGTGAGTTGAGCATGTTGACAACGACACCCTCAGGGCTGGAGAAGAAGTGTTTTCGTGACATGGTGGAGAGAGTCCAAAGGAGCTTCGAAACCGGAGGGGAGAATAGTTTGATAGTATAAGCGCTGTACTCTATCTACGCAGAGATATACTATATGTTCAAGTATCTAGCAATTGTAAATGGTAACATCAAACAAAGAAATCCATTGTGTTGTTGAGCAAGTAAAGTTCTGAGAGGAGCATGAAAGGGAAAACCGACGTACCGAGCTATTCACTGAACCCTCAAGCCATGGTATCTGTCCACATAGCCACCGGTAGAAAGGAAGAGAAAGCATGCATACTACCTCCAAGGCAATTCAGAGCGGGAATGACGGCCTCTATATAAAGCACTCCCCCTGCCCCGCCTTGATCCACGCCCCGCCATCTAGGGGCATGAGGGGTGCATGCCATGCCATCTCCAACCACAGAATGCGCAGCGACCCCCGGGAAATGTCCCGCCTCGAAACAAATGACTTGCACCAAAACCTCGCAATACTTGATGCGGGATGGTGAATTGCTTATTGTGATCGGTGTGAATGAAGGAAGTCCGGATTGCCCGAATTAGGATATCCCGGTGTGGTTGGTTGGATGAAGTATGGTTCACTGTAAGCGAAGAGAAAGACTTGACATGGGAAAGAGAACGGCTAGTCTCGAGGGCATTGAGTCACGTGACGCCCCCTTCGATATCCGTTTCTATGCTGAATGGGTCTCCTTGAATCAAACCCTCTTTAACAGATTAGATGGGATATTTCGAGGCCGTGATCTTCCCAAACTTTATATACAACTTATCTTTGCTATGGCAATTTGGTGGGGATGGCTCGGTTTCAGGCAAATGCCAATTTCAACCTCCATCCTGCTTCCTTCATGCTCTACCATCGTAGTGATTTGCGTAAGAATTTCGTACGAATGTACCAAAATTGGGTTTATTATTAAATGTACAAAAGAGAATTCTAAAGCATAGCTGTTTAAATTTTGTCTTCGATCGTCACATAAAGCTAGAACATTTTCACCAGGTAACATCGCCAACCTTCACCTCTGCTCAGTCTTCTCCAAGCCTAACCCGTGGTCCTCAGCATTTCATCTCCTATCTTGTTATCTTCTTTATACCAGAGCCCCCATAAGACCTACCAAAAGTGCTAAAGCAGCAGCTATCCTCGCCTCTATCCCTCCCTTCAAGAACCCAGCACCCCCCGTACTCGACGGCGCAGCTACAGTCACCGTAGGAGCAGGTCCCACAGGAGCAGACGTGGGGGTAGGTACAGCATTTGATATCGACAGCGAGATGGTCGCATTTTCCGAGCCTGTTACCGTCGCTGTCAAAACCGTTGCGTTTGCTGTTGTTGACGCTGGGACGGAACCTATGTGCCACTCAGTCAGTCCCGCGAGTCCGAATATCTGGATTCAACCGCCCATTTATTAGGTACACTTACTCATCGTCCCATTCCCCATCGCGCAGTAGCTCGCAAACACACCCAGTGCCTTTTCCACTCCCCCAGTTACTGTCTGGCTGCCACATTTTTTCTCAACCGCTTGGCTAATTTTGCTTTCCATCTTCGACGACGACGCTGTGCAAAAGCAGCTGAATGACGTCGTCTTCCCGCCATCACCACAGCCCTGTTCCATGTTGCGCACGATGGTCGACAAGGGCTGAACAGCACATGAAGGAAGGGAGGAATAGGCTGGTACTTTGTTGATGAAAATTTTCTGGGCCGGGGCAATGGCCAGGAAAGATAGTAAAGCGAGCAGTATGAGGTGATGCATTCTGAGAAAGTTGGAACTTTCAAAAATGGGACTAGGTAGGAGAGGGAAACAAAAGATCTGAAATGGCTACGATGCGCTTCTTCTCCTTAACCTCTGAAAATCTACAATACAAAACGAAAGCAGACAGGAACTTACCACAATATATTTATCCTTTCCTTTCCCACCCCCAACACGGCTCCTTACACATGCGTCTCTTGTCTTTCTAATCCCTGCTCTCTTTTCGCAGCATGTTACCTAAACTGCCTTCAAGCTAACCATATCCAGCCGCGCATCACATTTCAAGTGTTCTGATTGGCTGACACCCTTTTGACTTCATTCTCCGAAACATTGTTTTGGCCCTCAGCTGTGGATCATTCCTGTTCCTGCGTTTTTGGAACATTTTGTGGCTTTTACTGCAGCTTAGGTTGTCATGTTCCGGTTTGGGGCTGGCATTGTGGTCCGAGCGGAGGTGAATTAGAGAAGTCGTTGGGGAATCTGGGGCGGATGTCTTATTTTAGCACTAAGCTTTTATTAGAGCTGTGGTCTTGTAGTTTCCATATATATCTTAAGACTAATCAAATACCTTCCTCAAGTCCTTCTCCGCTTGCATTGCAACGATCACTAAACACACAGCACTTATATGTTTCTGGTTAATTGCGAACATTCTCATCTATGAATCTCTATCACAATCGACGAAAGTCTGGCATAGAAATCATTGACTTTCTTCTCATTGACTACACAATTTCGCACGCCAGTATTGCTGTGCTACCTGCCTCACTCAACTGTTCTTCCCTCACCGTCTCGACATCCTCATTACGGGTGTACTGTCTATCATTCCAAAGTCCAGGAAGCCATCATTTACCAATATGCTTTTGCGCCCCCAGCGCACCGTGGTATCATCCATTAATACAACGCGGGAAGTAAGAAAATGAGGAGAGATTCGTTGGCAGCCACCGTACAAGTCATCGCAATTGTCGGCATTTAGGTCATTACGGGGAGCCAGACAAACCTCAGGAGCGGCGAGACATTCTAGACAGGATTTGGTGGTAGGGAATTTAGACAGAGCCTTGGAGGACGGGGTTTTGATTGCCAAGCGTGGTGTTATAGTTCTCAGCTGCACCCACAACTCCATTAGGGGCGCTGTTGAACGCACTGTCGACCTGCCCAGCGAAACCGTTGGATTGACCGCCGGAAGGGGTTGATTCGTACCCACCCTGCCGACCATGTGGTTTGCGGGTGATGGCTGCGATTTTTGGAAGGCTGGTAGTCTCCTTCGCCGAACCAATGGAGAATACTGGACTCTCCCAATTCTCACCCTTAGCGGCAAGGTCTTTATACTCAGTTGCTTTGCTGGAGACTGCGAGGCCATTAGCATCAATCAGTGAAGAATTGGCAGATAACTTACTGCCTCCAGGAAGACTGATGCTCTGGAAGATCGAGTCATGCTGGGTGACGGCTATGTTGACCTTCGTATCTTTGGTGCGCTCCTCAATCCGGGCCTTCTTCTCCTTGCCCTGCATGATACGCTTGTTGATAGCCGTAACGTATGCTTGGTAGATGTTCTGGATGTTTTGAGGGTCTGGATTACGCTTGGCGTCTTCTACGGCTTTCTCTGCCTCGTTCTTGATGTCGAAGAGAAGGGCATCCAACTGATTGACTGAATCCTTAATCTGCTTCTCCAAAACACGTTGAATAACTGGCCTCATCACTTTTAGCAGAAGGGGTTTGAACATGCCGAACAAGAGCTTGTGGTTAGATTTCTTCAGCTTAATCCGGAGGTTCTTAATATCGGTAGACACCTTCGTGATCTTGAAGAAGTGGATCTTGTCAGACTTATCGACAGTCTCGAGCTCAACTTTGAAACTACAATTTAATTAGCATTCAAGAACAGTTACGGTGGTCAGGCATGTATATGACTTACCTGAATCCAGATCCACCCATGAAGACATCCATAACTCCCTTGTCAGTGACGGAGGGGAATCCCTGCTTGCGCTTGACATAGTAACTGACGTCTCTCAGGTCCATCTGAATGCCAGAGACGCTCAACATCATCTTGTTTTTGTTCTTGCTGGCAATGCTCTTGCGTCCCCACCTCCAGTAATTATCGGAGCCAAATTCGAGCACATTGGGAGCAAGGTTATCCCCCTCGATCACAAGGTTTTCCACCACAGCGTCAACCATGGGATCGGAGACTTCAATCCTAGGGATCGGAATGTAGCGGATGTTCTCGAAGAATGCTGGAAGGATAACTTCCGACAAATCCTTCAGAAGATGGGGCTTAAACACGGGCTTGCCCGACGCGTCATGGCCAAGGTCGTTAAACAATTTGGTGAGGCTCTGAGCAAAAGCCTTATTCTGGGCACTAAAAGAATGGTCAATTCGCGAAGCGAGAACTACTAGCAGGTATCTTACTCTTCATCAAATTGTTGCCCGAGGAACTTGAACTCATCGACGATGCGGTCGGTATGGCCTCGATAACGCTCACGAAGAAGGCGGTGGCCCTCGTCATAGATCTCGTTCCATTCACCGTTGCAGACATCTTGCATAATAAAGCCCTGCTCCTTCAAGCACTTGCGAACGTAAGCGTCGATATGCTTGAACCAGCTCTTCAGTTCGGGATCACGGTCGGCGTCGCGGTAGATCTGGTTGATGGAGTCGATGAGATCATCGAACGAGGTGCTATTGGCGAATCGTTCCAGAAGCGTCTTAATATCCGTCAGCATTGTTTTGTATTGGCTAGAGATTCCTAGAGAAACACACCCGTAAGTCAGTCTCTGCATTAGTAAGCGCATCGTCTTGGTGGGCACCTTTGACTGTTCCTTTAGATTGAGTAGCCATGTCCCTACTATGGCCCGCGTATTCCTCCGCTAGACGAAGTAATGTTTCAATGGCTCGTAGATCTGCAAGATTTGTCAGACAAATGGCTGTGAGCAAGGGCCAAAAACAAAAAAAGGACTTACAATCAGAGTGTCCCTGCACTTCAACGACCATTTTCTTGAGTCTCCAAACGGTCTGCTCGCGCCTCTCCTTGGGCATCTTCCCCTTCAGGTAGTTTTGCGCACGTTCCCGCTGATCTTTCATGCGGTTCTTATCCTCCTCCGGCAGATTCTTAGACACTGCTTGCTGCACTTGCCCAACTGCAGCATCGGAATTGAGACCTTGTGGCGCGCCTGCCTGCTGTTCTTGCGCGACTAGGGCAGCAGTGTCGGTAGGGTCTCGAGATCCCGTGGGGTGGGCAGCTTCAGAGACGTCCCCGGCGGCCATCTGGGCGTCCTTCTTTCCAAAGGGTACTTTGGCCTTGATTTGACTTTGAATGCTGCCCATGCTCAAGTCCGGAACCTCGTGCCAAGTATTGTCGTCGGCAGGCTTGTCGATCTGTGCCAGCTGCTCCTCAGACGGCTTCACCATGGCCGCCGTGTTGGTGGCCGCATCTCCGGCGATGTCTCGAAGCAGAACGCTCGCATCACTCACTTGAGGGTAGTTAGCATGGGTTGGGGGTATGCTGCTGCGCGGGCTACTTACGAAGCTTCCTAAACTGTCCGTTGCTGATGAGGAGAGTGCCCAAGGTTCGGAGACCTTCCAGCGCCTCGTTTCCATGCTGCTTGGCCGTGTCCTTGTCCAGTGGCGCACCGGGAACCTTGGCGTCGGCAGCGGAAACCTGCTGTGTCTGCCAGATGAAGTCCTGTAGAAGATTGCCGTCGTTCTTGCTGAGGAGGAGAAGCTTGGCGTTCTCGATGACCTGGCGCAGGTCGGCGACAAGTGTTTGTCCGTCTGGTGAAAGACGTTTCGACGGAGAGGCCAGGGGCTTCGAGGCCAACGCGCTGTTAAGCGCGACATCGATCTGTTGGTTAGACGGAACCTTGCCACTGGCGAATGCAGAGTAGATGCCATAGAGCTGAAGCTTATTGTTAACGTCCCTCTCCTTGACCTTGACGTCCGTGGGCCGGTTGACAGCTTTTGAGGTCATGGTGACGAAATTAGCGCGGTTATATGTGTTTAGGTATCTAGTGTTGTGGAGGAGCTATTATGGAGGGGCTATGATGGAGGAGCAATGATGGAGGAGCAATGATGGAGGAGCAATGATGGAGGAACAATGTTGGAGGAGCGATGTTAGAGGGGCTATGCTGGAGGAGCTGTGTTGGAGGAACTATGTTGGAGGAGCTATGTTGGAAAGCGAACTGAGCTGTCGCCGTGGGCATGGGTATCACAAACAGTGAGGAAAAACAAAATGTGGGAGATTGGGGGGTAGTACGATGGAGCAGCGGCGGAGCAGCGCAGGCGCTTTATCTGGGGTGAAGTGGTCACTGGTTGCGAGGGAAAGCTTCAGGCGCTGGCGACCGTACGACTGGGGGGGGGAGCTGTTTCGGTGGCACACGTACGTCATCCATGGACACACACACCGTCGACGAGGCCAAGGCACGCTGAATTGAGCGTTGCCTCTAAGCCTGGGCCAGCAATGACACACACTGATTGATCGAAATCCGTTGTGGCCGCGTCCTGGAACAAAACACGTCGGCTGAGGCAATTTTCGCCTGTTTTGCTGGCCATGCTGGACATGGCTGGATTGGCGCTTGCCGAGTTGAGCGGGAACTATGCTGCAAGAACTCCCCCTTGTCGTGCATGACGGAGGACTCAGGTCGCGAACTCTGTGATCTCTTCTGATCGCCTGCCGGGATCCCATGTCATCGTGGCGTCATTGCATTTTGGGTCGACACCTCCAAATCCCCATGCTTCAGCAGAAATTCCATGTCGCTGATCTCGATCCTTTGCCATCTTTCCAGAACACATACTCGAAGTAGTCCTAGATCATGCTCCATGAGCATGGTGCTTTTGCAAGAACACATACTTCACAGAGGGCAAGCCACAGCTTCCCAAGCACAGCCAATGCCTCCACTTTAGCCCCCGTCTGTGGCTTTTTAGACGACAAATCGAGATGCCGATCCAAAGTCTCCATGACGACTTTCCATCGCCACCAATCTCCTGATCTTTGCAATCTCGCCCTCGTTACTCGCCATTGATACACCAGTCTAACCCAAGCCTTTTCGCGTCTGGCTTCGCTTGGAAGACCCGCATGCAATGGGAAAGCGACCGTCGTAATTTCCGCAGAGCACTTGATGCCGTCATCTCAGCAAGCCCGTGCCCTGTTTGGAACGCCCTTGGCATCGCATGGCCAGACGAAAGCCTGGCTTCGACCGACAGTCTCCCTCCGAGAGAAAGACAGGCTCTTGGACGAGTACCTACACTTCAGTGAGAAAATGAGGAACTAGGTCCGCTAGACTAAGAGCGCCGTGTGTTTTGGAATGTGGTACGTGGTATGTGGTGTGTGGCACACTGGTAACGTGGTGTACATTTTGCTCCCATCTACGGATCCGTACGCAACGAACGTTGCTCTATGCAGGTGCTTCAGCACTCGGGCCTGCTTCCGTAGGTGCCCCGTCTTTACCAAGACTTTCGTCTTTGATCCACTTCCCAATCTCCGTTTTCCTCCAACCACTCCCCCGCTTAAAACGCATATCCATATAGTCGTCCACCTCACCCGCCAAACCAGCCACATCACAATCTGAGCTCACAAATTCCGCCCCATCAGCAAAGCCATACACCCCAAGGAAACTGGCAATGACCTTGTAGGATTCGTTCCACTCCATCCATAAATCATGAGGTTGCGCTCGCCCCATTCGTTTCGGTGTATTGAGAAGGCTGTTCTCATTTCCAGGCGCGAGCTGGAAGTGCACTTTCCGTAACGTCTTTACTTTATGTAGTGCGCGGATGATGGTCGTGATATTGGTACTAAAGGGGAACACGCCGTGAAACGAGAAGGATACGATGTTGCAACAGTCCTGCACTTCCTTCGCCAGCCTTAGAATAATGAGGTATAGCATTTTTGGGGATTGCTTGAGGTGATACTCGTAGGTACTGTATGCGGTGATAGAGGACCCTTCATTATATCCTAGGTGGGTCCAAGGTTTTCGGTGCACTAAGGCAGAATCCCACGGGCGGCAGGTAGATTCTCTGGGATGGTTAATACGACTCGGCTCTGGCTGCAGAAGCTCAATATAGTGCATTTTCATGTCAAATGCCCAGGCATCCGAGCTCAGCATTTGCGTATCCAACAGCCCAGCGAGGGTAGTAGGAGGAGCAGCTACAACCACCCGAAAAGGTTCTAGACGAAAGAAGATCTGGGACCAAATCTCAGACACAGCTCGACTCAATGGGGCATCGGCAGTCGAGACATGACGTAATTCATACTCCTTATCCGTGAAAACCACAAGACTTTTAATATAGTGCTTCATATTGTAGTGAGCCACAAAGCGACCGAAGTCTGTAAACGTCTTCGGGAGGTGCGGAAGCCACAGGATGTTCGGTACTGATCGCAGAAAGTCATCTCCTTCCCGGATTCGACACAAATTGATAAGGAGATCGTCGAAAGACTCGTCGAATGCCCACATTGAGCTGCTCTTGAATTTGCTTCTCATTTTCTGGTATATTTGCAGTTCGTGATTGCTCAGCTTCGTTAGCTGACCTTGCATATTCTCAACTAGCCTGGCATCGATCGGAACCCATTGGGGAGTTTTGTCGAGCGAGATTCTGGAGTAGCGGAATAGAACAGGGAGTACGATCTTTCTCCATCTCCACGATACCCCGGATAATGACTTCAACGATCTTTCTTCCGAACATGTCAACTGCGCAGATGGCTCATGTGTGAATTTTAATATTGAGGGAGGCTGCCGATCAAAATGGGAGGCAATCTGGATTAGGAGTTCGTTAGGAAGAGCGTCCAATGTCGCACATGCTGGTAGTGTTTTATTCATTTCTTGGCGTTGTTCGGATATAAGAATGAAGGAGGAGTGTACAAGAGGCGAGAGGCCTTTATATTTATTCTGTATGGGTTGAAGATAGTTGAGTTGTTTTGAAGCGCCTCTCGGCATAACACTGCAAGAGGCAGGCGCTGAGTGTGGAAGAATGGTTAGGAGATGGGAGGGGCTTGCAGTTAAGCATCGGAATGTACGTCACCCGACACAATTTGTTCACAGGATTCGACAGCCCCTCGTGCGATTTCGAGGTCTAATATTTATACTCTTCTCACTAAGACTCGACTGGAAAGGGAACTGCTTATTCAATTTCAATGTCATTTCATTTGCCTATTCAAATATCCTCAGAAGCTAGAGCGAACTGCTCCTTCGAGCCAGGCAACTCCGGCCTGAACTCCATCCACGACCTTAATCCTGCAGCCCTCGACTTCTCCCAGTTCCTCAACACAAGCTTCCTTGACCATCTGGTCCATTCCCGACATGCCTGCACATCCGAGGCAGATGGCGCCAACTTTGCCTTTCCTCAGCAATCTTTTCACGGCATCTTGGATGCGCCCGCGAACCTCTTCCGGAGGCGCATCATGCAAATCGGTAGCATTCAACCCAGTTGTCTCGACCCCAGCAAATCTCTGGCTCGCCTCGGATCCTGTGCCGAGAAAGGCTACTATAGCCTCTGAAAGCATCTCCTCCCAAACCTTGCCCGTGCTGACAATGCCGAATCGCTCCTCCGGGTGTATTATTTGAAGGCTCGTGCTCACACTCGCCTCGAAGATGCCTGTAACTGGCTTGCGACCGTCTTTTATTGCGGGCTGCCCTTTCAGTAACGGCACGAGCGGGTGCTTAGAGTAGCATGCAACGAGAAAGCCGCTGTGGCGATCGAGGAGAGGCTGGAGGGCAGGCAGACAGTGTTTCACACTCTCGACCGCATCGTCCTCATTATTGATGCTCTTCGGTCCCGATGGTGCCGTGAAGAAGGCGTGGGTGGTCTAATAAGCTGTGGTTAGTTTGCGAGAAGAGAATCGCGGTGAGTGGTGTTGCAGGACATCTTTGAATTGGAGTGAATCAACCAGGGGCTTGAGGCAGTCCGTCATGGACTCCGTGGAATTTGGGTTGATGACGAGGATGGAGCTTGTTGCGCGCATATTGCTATTGCCGGGTTTGCTGGGCGGTAGCTTACACTCTCCCATTGATATCGTTGGATAAGTGACTGTGTACGGCGAGCCGTGGCGTGTTTGAAATTGGGGAAGGGCAAAAGCTGCATCGAACCGACGGATGGATAATTTCCACCTGTGGCGGTGCGACAGTATGACGTCACGCTAGCACGGGAGCAAAGGTCGATTCCGAAGAACTAAGGGCAGGCGCTAGGCACGCTTGAAGGCGCGTATGAGCTTCCGGCGTGATGCAACGGGGGCGTTCGAGTGTGAAGACGGGTAGATTGTGCTGCATAGGGACATGCCAGGACAATGCCAGTCGAAGAGCAGCTTCCATGCTAAACAGGAACAACGAGACCTCGCCCTAAGAGCGTTCTATGGTTGCTCTATGCCAAAGTGCACCTCAATATCCTCTAGCAGTCCCTACTGCAAAAAGCCCAATCAAACAATGCCTTTACCATTGGAGTATTATGATGTCGTAGTTGTGACAGGAAGGTATTTAGAAAGCGACTGCCAGTTCGTTAGAGGCGGTGACCGTGTTCACGGGAAAGGGACATACAGTAAGTCGTCTCTTCGTGACATGGCCCAAGAGTGCTCTAACGGAAGCAGCTGAAGCGCCCACAGGAGAAGCGGAAAGGTGCACGTCGCACGCCGTGTTTGTCAACCACAACACCACCACCTGGGTGTCTTGTAAGTCAATTGAATCAGGAAGGAAGAGAGAACACAGCACTTGCCTGCGTGACGGCCACCCCAATGCTTTGTCCACATGAGACCCATGATAGTTGAGTTGTCGTTGGTAGAAGCGGGTTCGGGCAGTGGTAGTGTTGTTGTGAACGAAAAGGAAATGCGTTCGCAAGTTGATTGTTGCTGTTGTTTAGGTTGGGGGTGGTGGTGTGAGCTGGCTTTAAATAAGTAAGTCTATGCCCAGGTGCCCAGGAACAAACCAAGGTTGGACGGCCTACGACAGCCAAGACGACTTCAGCTGGAAAGGTTGCGCCTGCTGAGGTGTCCCATGCTCACGTGGTCGTTATGCGCCACAGCTTGTGGCGCATTGCACCAAGAACCATTCCGTTGCATAGAGTTTTCTACGGGACTCTAGGCGGGTATTTGAGTTTGTGGGGCTTATCTTGGAGTCGAAATTCTATCGTCGAGAGTGATTGCATCGGTGTGGTTGTGTTTAAGCCACCCCTTGGACTGCTTCCAAGGGTCTCACACCAAGTCCTGCGAGGTGAGCTTGGGGGCTAGCATTGGGAATTGGGCTCAGGGCTGCTAATGCTTCTGCATTTGCTGTGGTTGAAGTAAATTGGTTTACTCTTGAAAGAAACAGAACCTTATAGAACGGAATATAATAGCATGGAAGCGTCAAGCTTGGTATTCTCAGGTCACCGAAAGAAAGGAAGAAAGCTCGAACGGGACATTGATGGACGCAGAAGAGGATTTTCCAACCGCTCTTGATCCCAAAACCCGCAAATTGGTTACACATACAGTGGATGAAAGATTCCGAATGCTCCACCTGGTCCTCGAGGGCCGACGTTCGTAGCGCCGCCCTGCTTCGCAGATCTTGCACCAACATGTGCTGGAGAGTGGTGATCCGTATGGAGCCCAAATATGCCGACGGTTTCCTATTCCTGGACGCAGGCCTACCGACCAGAAAGGCCTCCCGATGCGGCCATGGCAGCATTCTGCTCCTGGAATCGGTCGCCTAATCGCTGCGAGCCCTTCATATGCTTGTCCACACAGCGCATGACGCAGCTCTCTTCCCGCGAGGTGAGAGACTTGCTCTCGAAGCCGTTGATACAATCGTCGAAGCACCGCTGGACGAGATTGGAGTACATCTTGATGGCCGGATCTGTCAGCGTCGGGATGGCAGTGGACATGGACACTACCGAGACTGTCTTACGTTCATGAATTCCTTCATCTGCTTCTTCTGCATGCGGCCCTCGAGCTCGCGCTGCTCTGCGGGCGTGAGACTGTCATTCGGTTAGCCATCATCTGGCACAAAGAAACGAGCGGCCATACGCATCCATGGAGTGTTAGCGGGGGACGCGTTAGATTGATTGATTGATTGGCTTTGATATGAGGTGGATACGTTGTGGACGGAGGGAGGGTTCGATGGAGCTGGGTCGGCCTCCAGCCCGCCCAAAATTTTGGAAGCGAGCTTTGATGTCGATGATGCGGGCCGTCACATCTCCGCTGCGGCGCTCTCCAGGGCTGGGATCCGCCAAGCCCAACGCTTTATTGTTCGAGAGGGCAAAGGCTTCCAAGGTTCTTTTTGCACCTGCTGGCCCGATTGCCCGATCGACAGCTCAATCCGTAGTGCTTCACTACTACTGGGCGCCTGCTCGCGTCTCGTTACTCCAGCGCTGCTTGACCGGGCCTTCTGCCTTGAAAATCGCACGGCGGACAGCCACATCAGGGAGCGCCAAGCTCCAGTCGTCCCCCATCCAACCTCGGGGCCCCTCGCCGCCATCATTGCCTTTCACAGCACCTGACCCTGCATGTCTTTTCGTTGTCCTGAGCCACACCTCGCGGCCCGCTTCAGGTCCTCTCCCTGCCTTTGACGTCGCCGTGGCATCTCGTGTCGCCCTCCAGCCGCCATCGCCCTGTCGCGTTGCTTTCTCGAGGTCCGCCGTCGTGACAACCAACCCCGACATCCTCTGCTCTCTCATCCACACGTCCCCCCCGTTACCCTTCTCCCACCCCTCTGCAACGACCTCTCGCACGCTGCGCACCCCTCACACATCCTTCGCACTCAGCGCTCTACAGAAACGCCCCTGCTGCTTCACCGCGACTCCTGCGGCTGGTGATCGCTGCCGCCTGGCGACGGAGGCAATTTTGGCGCCAGCTAGACACCCTCAAGAAGCCGCAACGCGGTGCGAACGTGTATAACCTCCCCGATACTGCAACAAGACGGCCCTGACGCCTCTGGCCCTGCTCTAACATGCCGAACGGCACACATACCCCCCATTCCACGCCGCGTGTGAGGAACGGCGAGCCCCAGCCTGCTCCGCCCCCAACAATGGCCTCTGAGCCCGCGACCGCGAGGCGCGACCTCACGTCGTGGTGGAAGCAATTCAGCAAGCGAAGCAACCCAAAGAAGGACGAAGAAAAAGGTACAGCAATCTTAATTCGCATTAGTCTGCACCCTTCTCCTATCGGCCGCGATGATCCAGCGCCGTGTCGGATCTGACAAGGCCTAGCCTTGTGCCGCTCTTCAGCGTCCCCCGCTATCTTGCATTACATGCCGTTACTGACGCAACCTCCTTTCCTACAGAAGCTGAAGTCCGCGGCATATTTGGCGTGCCGCTCATTACTAGCATCCCCTATGCAAATGTTGCGATATCGCTATTCAACGAGACCGGAGAGAGCTACATATACGGCTACGTACCTATCGTAGTAGCCAAGTGCGGTGTCTTCCTCAAGGAGAAAGGTCAGACCCCCATGCATCCTGCGATTCAGCTCATGCTAACAGGTTCGTTCAGCCACTGATGTGGAAGGAATCTTCCGCCTCGCAGGCTCGGAGAAAAGGATAAAAGAACTCAAGATCGCCTTTGACACGCCCCCGAGATGGGGCAAAGGCCTCGATTGGACCGGTTACACTGTTCACGATGCTGCCAACATCCTCCGAAGGTATTTCAATCAGCTGCCAGAGCCAATAATACCTTTGCAGCACTATGATTCATTCCGTCATCCTCTGCGCAATCACCAGGCCGAGGCGGTTGGCCCTCTGGAAGGCCAGGCGCCGTCGATTGGGGGATTCGACCCTGATGCCGCCGTACGAATATATCAGCATCTCATCAAGGAATTGCCTTCCCTTAATCGCCAGTTGCTCCTCTACATCTTGGATCTACTCGCAGTCTTCGCTGCGAAATCCGACGTCAATAAGATGACCACATCTAATCTCGCTGCTATCTTTCAACCGGGCATCTTGTCGCATCCGCAGCACGACATGTCCCCTCAGGATTACCGTTTGAGTCAGGACGTGCTCATCTTCTTAATTGACAACCAGGATCATTTCTTGATCGGAATGGAGGGCACCGCTGTCGATGAGGGAACCGTCAAGCACGTTGAGAGTGGGCCTCCGACGCCACAGGCTCGGACTCCTACAACCCCTGGTCGAAACAAGTCTGGGCTTGGTCGATCTGCTTCAACATCATCCAGTGCTGGGGCCGAGAGCTTGCGCAAATTCGGGGGGATTAGACGCAACGTTTCCACCTCCTCGAGACACTCACGACATTCCGGAGCCCTTCCAAGCCCAGTTACTCCGTCTTTCGGTACTCCGACCGGATCCGGAGTCCATCGAAGCAACACGGTTCCATCCAAAAACTCGCCAGCTCTTCCTGGTGCCCGGTTCTCGAGAGAGAAGCACTCTGACCCCCCAACTCCAGCTACGGAAGAGGCGAGGCCGCACGCGCCCACATCTGGCCTGCACAATGTTGCTGCACCCCAACAGCCACCTGAGCTGCCTGTCCCGCAATCCATTCAAACTGAGAACGTCGATGCCCCCAAGCAAGTCGGAGAGAAGAGCACTGATGCGGTCAAGACAGCCACGGCTCAAGGTGTACACTCAGCCATCCAGCCACCAATTCCTGGAGTCCTTTCACCCACCTCTAGCTCAAATGCTACCCATGCTACTGATGCACCTAGTGGAAGCGTAGCACAAGTCCTAGGGCCCCCAGCACCGCAAAATCATGGAAAGCGTAGTCCTCACCTCACCCCAACGCGTGAGAAGTCCGAGTTCATCGAAGGGCCTCTGGATCCACCTGCCGCAATAGGTAGTGAGCCGACTCCAGCTGTCCGGACATTCACGCAGATTCTGTCGAAGGTATCACCATCAAGCGACGAAAGGAAGGACGGTAGAAAACCAAACAAGCTTCAGAAGAAGCAGCGGCTCCCGAGTAGCGCCAACCCCAGTGCTCACAGTTCAACGCACTCATTGACCGGATTCACTCCCGGGTTGGATTCTCCTCCATCTCCTTTACCCCCATCGGTCCCACAATATCACCCTAGCGGCTCAAAGGAGATGCTGCAATCGTACAACAGTGACACCGTTTCCTCGCGAAATTCTGGGGCTACTTTGAAGCCGAGCATGTCTCCGTCGGCATCCTTCAGGTCACACTCAACCGCCACAGAATACTCGGAAGCGGAAGCGACAGATGAGCCACCCAAGGAGGAAAAGAAGAGCTTTTGGAAATCACATCGACGTGGTGAGAGTAAGGCAACACCAACAGCGAGTCAGACTGACCTTGGGTCGGTTCCCGGAGCTGAGAAGAGCATGAGTTCTTTTGGGAGCAGTTCTGCGTGGGGAGGACGACGCAGCCTTCAATTTGACTCTCACCAAGGCTCGGAGACGTCTGTTCCGTACGGTGGAGAAACTAAGGAGCATGAGAAGAAAGGCCCGCTCAATTGGTTTCGAGAGAAAAGACAGGAGCATAAAGAGCGTGAGGCCAAGAAGCAACTGGCCAAGAGCCCCCCTGGCAGTACCTCTGACCTACACGCCCCGCAACATCTCGGTAGGCCAAACGAGGGGTTAGCTGTTAGGGGGAAGTCGATGGATATCCCTCGGACGGCGGTAAGCGAGGGTTCAAAAGGGTCTTCAGATGTTACTCCCACTGCAACCAGCCCTAAGCCGCTTCCACAGACAGCAGAGGCCTCGAAAGACGCTGCGAAAGAAGCTTCGAAACCCAACCCTCCGCCTTCATAGCGTCAGATCATCCGACTCTTATCCATCGTGTAGTGTATATGATGGCATGAGTAGACGGGACTATATTCAGGCCGCGCCGCGTTGCGGGAGTTTGGTTTGGCTGGACATGTTGGTCGGAGGTCCTTCCGTATATCTGCCAAGGTGTCAGTTGGGCTACGATTTACCTTGGACAGTCCCCATACGTTGGTCATGGGACGGATTAGGATACTGGTATTTTCTCCTCTAATCTTGAGTCTTGACGGGCTTGACTAGTTGCGAAATTAGAAGTGATGTTGCATATAGCGAAGTTGAGATATCGCGAGAGGTGCCGTACAGTGGCGAAGTAGATAGTAATGTAATTTCATCAATTCTTCGGTTAACGTTTTGAACTTTAAGAAGTGACATGGCCAAAAAAAAGTTGTTATTCAAATGCAGAAGGTGCTGCGGACGAGAGAAGAGTTCTACTAGTTCCGAGTATTGCATGCATTGCTATCCCGACATCCGGAGACTCGGAGAACACGTTGGCAGCTCAGAGCTGGGAGGGAGTTGAGCGCTGGGAGCTGAAATAGCGCGGATGGGCCCACTTCTCGCTCTGTCCGGGATGGAGGATGGCTTTTCGTGATCAAAAAGCTCTCGTGATGCCGGACGTAAGCAATTCTGCAGGTGGCTCTAGGCTCGTGAGGGGACTGCAGACAGCATCTCGTTCCATGACAGACTAATAGAAGAAAGCTTCAAACCCCAGACACGGAGTGATGCATCCTTAAACTTTCCGTTACTCTGATCTCTCCAAAAGGAGATGCCTAGAGCAAGCTTGGAGCAAGTGCGGAGAGAAAATGGACGACCACTGACCACGCTTGGGCCTTTGCCCTCATTCTTGTTCCGTCAGTAGTTTTCTCCCTCTGAGTGGAGCAAGCAAGACCAGAGCCGCTCGCAGTGTTGTCACTCCTGCTGCTCTGACTGACTGCCATGTGGCGATGGCTGTCTTGGCGTTATGCGGCTGGATGAGGGGTTATACCTAGCGATGTGCGGATTTGCGGATTCTGGAGCACGCCCATTTGTCGTTGGCGGGCGGCGACTCTCTGCTGACTTAGTGGCGCGATGCAGGGTTTGCTATGAATAGAGCCTGCATGCGGGGACTCGCATTGGAGGGCATTGGAGGGAATTTTGGCGTGTGGCGCCGTGACTTCGAGACAGAAGGGAGGCTGGTAAAGGCTGTTGATGGGTTTCGCATATTGTTTGGGAGTGAAAAGGGATATGAGTTTCATCCGCGATTCTGATCGTCTTGCATATTCTTGCTTGTTGGGCACTCGCTACACATAATGATAGAAACTGGGAATCAGTCTAGTGGTCCTGATGATGCTGGAGTCGGACCCAGGCCGTCATCGCTCGACATGACGTTCACAGCAGGGGTCAATCTGGCGCGCTCGCTTGAAGCATGGCTGCAGCAACTTGTAACAGGGATGTCGCATTGCCCAAGACGAAAAACAACAGCCTTCAAGGTTTCAGACAGGAAAGGGCTCTGGGACGGACACGGTTGGGCCTGTGGACCAACCGCAGGCAGGCGTTTCTAGGCAGAACGAGAGCAGCTTGAGGGAGCAAATGGCTTGATCGGATATCGGAAGCGTGAATGTTGCTGGATGCCTGCTTGGGACTGGCCTGGCTGCGAGTCTGCGACTAGCCGAGTGCTCGCTCGTGTTCTGAGGATCCCTCACTAGGTGTAAGCTTGGTCTGATGCTGGTGCCCTCCTCCTCCGCCCTTCTTCAGTCCTGCCTTGGCCGCTACCTTCGTTGAATTCGTACAGCTCTCTTTTGTCCCATCTTCTTCACTCGTTTTCCCTGTTGAGCAGGAAAGGCAGACTGCCGTATCGATAACCGCGTAATCGTCTCGACATTTCTTGTGGCGCTCGCGATACCAGCCACCCGCATCTTGAGTCGTGAACTTTCTGCGTAAGCGGCCCTCCCCATTCACCTTCGCTCGTGTCGCCTTAAAGCTCAGCTGTGCCCAAATTCCATTTGTATTGGCAAAAATTATGGTGTCATACTAACGACTTGACGGCCTTGCTACAGCTTCCCTCCCCAGGACACCGGACATCTTTCGACCCTCAGAACACCGCCACCTACACTCATCTACCCTGTCTCCAATATCGCAATGTACTCTTTCTTCCGCCTTGTCCTTCTAGGGCTTCCGCTGGTCGGCAGTGTCGTCTCTGAACCAGCTGCCTCGCCGACAAAGGAAACGCACCCCATCTACGCCAATGCCGAGCAAGCTTTCCAAGACCTGCTCAACGCTCTGCCTGAAGAGTCTCTCCACGTAGCCTTGAACGGACTCACTCGATTCAAGGATGGAATCTTCGAATCTGGTCGCCATGGCGTGGAACGTGTGCACAACGAGAATCCACCGCTTGCCACGAGGCTCATAGTAGCTGCAGTCCAGGACCTGAAGAAGCGGCAGACCCCGCCGACGAATGGCACCTCCACCCAGCCCGCTTCCTCGCAGGCCCCAAGTTCGCAGGCCCCGTCGTCAAACCCATCTCCTGCAAGCTCCCGGGAATCCGCCGTCATCGTCCCTGTTCCCATCACAACGACCAACTCGGCTGGGGAGGCTACAGTAGTTTCCAGCGGAATCTTGAGTCAGCCAACTGCATCCGTCGCAGTTCCGGTTACTCGTACTAACGATCAGGGTTCTACTATTGTGGCCACCGAGACCAAACCCGCTGTGATCTTCACGGCGACAGATTCAGCAGGCTCAGCCTTCGTGACCACGTCTGCTGTTGACTTCGCACCAACGCAGGGACAAGTCCTGACAACCACCAATGCTGAGGGAAGCACCTTCTTGACGACCTATACGCCCGGTGGCGGAAAGGTGTCCTCAATTGTACTGATCACCACAACGGGTTCTGATGGCCGACCAAGCGTCATCACCAGCTACACATTCGTTGGGCCAGCGCAGGCTACCGGGACAGATGGCAAGCCGCTTCCCTCAGGAGCCACAAGCGTGAAGCCGGGGCTGCAGTCGGGTGCCGCAGACAGAAATCGGGCGATGGAGGCCGCTATGGTGGGAGGTGCTGTTGGCGGAGCATTTGCGCTGTGGATATAATACCCAACCATGGAACTCTGCTCTTCCGATGGACGAGATCACAAATTGCGAAAGAATGCGTAATAAAAAAAAAAGCGGGCGTAATGACTCACGATTCTCCTACTCTACGTTGTTATCCAACACACTACACACTCTATGGATGGACGGCCACTCCTTTATTAGACCCCGACTCCCCACCTACCGCGTCCTGGTGGACAGTTACCTCGTCAGAACTGTCCTGTCCACGTGCTCTGATTGACTCATTATTACATTCTTTGTACTGTACATCACTTTGATCTTTGATATTCTACTGTCCTTATTGTGCTCAGCGAGCATTTGGGGTTTTGTTTTCCTATTCCTTTTCCGCATTTGGCGTGAAAGTATGCATGTGTGTATATAGAGCCATTGGCTTGGACCTATCCTTATGGGAAACAATATGATTTAGCTTGGCATTCGGGACGGGATGGGACGGTCATTTGATATTCATGGAGGAAGGAAATGGAAGATATGATATAGCATGGCATGGGACTTGTGAATGGTATTAGAATAAGGGAAGGCAGCTAGCACAGCAGCAGTCCTGTATGATTTGATCGATTGAAACCACTTGAATCGTGTAATACCAAAGCTATATGCTTGCAGCCATCTTGCTTTGTTTTTTTATGTTCGAAAGCGGCACCACACTCATCATATTTGACTCTTTCCTCATGCCTTCAATGCCTTGAATCTCGAATTTCAAGAATGTGAAGGCTGCTGTCTCGCCCCGTCACTAACCCTCCTAGACAGGTAAGATAGGAGGATAAAACAGAGTTACTTTTTAAGCAAAGGTGTCTCGAAAATGGTGGCGGACACCCCATGGCATGACACAACACGAAGCCAGCACACCATGTCCAGGCAGGCGTCTTATCGACGGACCTCTATGACGCAATCCCACTTCACTTTACCTAAGTAAGCGTCTTTGGGCTCTCCTTGGTCGAACAGCCGTTTCTGTATTCGGACAGTGCCGAATGTGTTTTGATGAGGTATTGGTCTACAAGGTGTAAAACGCTTCTAAGATTACCTGAGATCCTTCTTTCCTCAATGGGTATCTAGCTGGTGCTCGAAACCTAACTCGATAAACATACATCTACGCTTACACTCTGAAGCTGTGTCTCCGTTCTCTACAGTCACCGCTGCAACGACTGACTCTACTGAGGTCATCCGTCGACCTAAAGGCTCACACACATGCCGTCCACCAAATGGGAATGCTCTAAAAGTCCAAACCCAATCCGGCGCCACCCCCCCCCAAAAAAAAAGACTGGCTGGATCTCACCCTTCCTGAGGTCAAGTCCGAAAACACTCATCATGCGTAATCAAGATCAACAGACCCAGTTTCATCGCGCTTTCGTAGCAATAAAGTATTCAACACTCTCGCCCGCCCAACTGACACTATTCGTTCCAGAATCGAACTTCTCTTCATCAAACAAATTCGCAATGCTCTGCTCGTTCCGAAGGCCTTGTTTCCCACCTCCGCCAAAGCTCGCCAAACTCACGACCTTGCACCCCATCTTCAGATCCAAGAACTTGTCCAGCAACACACCGTTCAGTTGCTGCGGGAAGACTTTGTTGTTCACCAGGACGACGTCGGCGCGTCCTAGGATGGCATCAATATCGGAGGGCTTGCGGAAATCGCCTTGCAGGAGGTGGATCGAACCAAGAGAGATGTTCCATAGCTTGGCGCGGGCGCGCAGTTCGTCGGCTTGCTCGTTGGCGAATGAGGCGGGCGTGGGCAAGACCTCGATGCCCCAACTCTCAGCGCCGGTTTGAAGGGCGGATTGGAGGACTACGTTGCCGACGCCTGAGCCGAGGTCGACGAACACGGAAGACGAGTTGAGTCGGGTTTGGTGGAAGATGGTGTGGACGAAGGGCGGGAGCAGTTCGCCGTATGTGGTTTCTTTGCCTTTGACCTTGCGCAGGAGGTGCGCTTGAGGCGAGACGGTGCGTTGGTAGACCTGTGCGAGAATGCGCTTGGTCAGACTAAGAGGGATAGAATGTAGGGCGTCGAGGACCCTGGGTATGGTGCCGTCTTCGAGTTTGGCTTTGATCAGCGCGTTGAAGTCGTTGAGAGCGGATTGAAAGTCCTCGGGTGAGCCCTTGGTGACGGCGCGCTTGAGCAGCCGGACGGGGCCAGTGATGTCAGACGAGAGTTCGGCGGAGAGGTCGGATGGGAGATAGTGTTGGATAATTTCTTCTATGTTGAAGTAGATATCGTCGATGGGATTAAAGTTGGAGTTGTCATGCGGAATGGCCGTTGCAAACTTCTCTGGCGGTGAAGGACTTGGATACTGCAGCCTGACGACTAGATTGTGTTCACTGCCGGGAAATGCAGGCCTGAAGTCCTTGTTCCACGCACCCGTCGACATCTGCAGCCCATGTATCAGCTTGGCCTCCTTGCCAGGCTTCTTTTTCGCGGGCTCTCCGTTTAGTCCTGGGTCCTGGATGCGTATGCGCCGGTTGAGATCCGGCTCGAGGCTGCGGTTCACGCCCATGGGCTCCATGCTGCTGCTCGTCTTCTGCCGCTTCCGTACGCCCAGCCGATCCTCATCCTCGTCGTTGCTGCTCTCCGAGTCGCTGCTCGCCCACTGTGGAGTGCTAGGCGTGACCTTGCGCTTGCGCTGCTGGACATGCGACACGGATAGCGACTTGCGGTCGGGTCGCGACTGTGCGGACACGCTCTGGGCCCTCCCCGAGGGTGTCAGGCTGTACCGGCTTGTTGGCGCCGCTGCCACCGAGGCCTTCCCTAAACTCCCATTTGTACCGTCTGCGATGCTGTTTGCGATGCTGTTTGCCTGGGTTTGTGAGGGCTTGCGCGGTGCGTCTGACGTTGAGAAAGGCTTGTCGGCGCCGGCGGGGGGCTTCTTGACAGGCACGGTGACGGTGCGGGTCCGGATTTTGGGCTTGGTGTTAAACATGGTTAATAATGGATTAGATAGTCAACTGCAGGTAGCGATGTCCGAATGAATGTGAGGTGGTGGAGTGAAGCTTCGAGGCAACCTGCGGTGGCCCTGACTACACGCGTGCCCTGTTCTGTCGTGTCTGACCGACTTGCAGAGGGCGAAGACCTGCAAGGCTGCACTCCCAGTTACGAGACGCCACTGCAGGGATCAGCGTCCAGGGTCTGTCGCTTGGCACATCCCACCTTGGAGCGGACTGGGGTTGAGTGGACTGGGTTGAGCGGACTGGGTTGAGCAGACTGGGTTGACTAAGAGCGAGGTGCAGTATCAAAGTGAATGTAGCATATAACGTGGAGCAGGATGATAGTAAAGTCTATCTGTTGGGCGTCTTGCTGAAAGTAGGTAGCATACAGTAATGTGCTTGACCACTGGTATCTATCGGTAGATTCAGGCTCAGAATATTCTCCGGGCATCGTCCCCGTCTTCTCTTCATTTCCCTAGAGTCAAGAACAGCCTATCTCCAACATCTCCGAGACCAGGCCTGATCATTCCCTTCTCATCCACCTCCTTGTCACACCCGCCAACCCAGACTTGCACCCCTTCCGGCCACTCACCACACGCCCTCTCGAGGCCTCCTTCGGCCGCAAGCACGGCACACACGATTATCTTCTTGACGCCCCAGTCTTTGAGTGTGTCGATAGCGGCACATGCGGTAGCGCCCGTCGCAATGATGGGGTCCACGATGATGGCTAGCTCCGCGGGGCCTCCAGCATGGGGATTTGTAGCCGTGGGGCCGTGGTACGGCAGGTTGTTGTAGTACTCGACGGGCTGGAGCGTCGCCTTCTCGCGATACAAGCCGAGGTGATGGACCGGGACCGGAGCAGGAAGCAGCGACAAAAGCGCGGGCACCATGCTGAGGCCGGAGCGCAGGATGGGGACGAGCGAGATGCTGGACGAGGATGGCGAGACGGTGGTCTTGGTGTATGTGTAGCCGAGCGGTGATTTGTCCTATTCCCCGTTATGTTAGCATGAATTGTATGGCGTGCGGGAGATGCAAACCTACTGTTCCGTCGTCGATGCTCGCGAGGCCCGAGGCGAGTGCCTCGTAGCCAACCATCAGGGCGATTTCATGCACCAGCGTCTGGACATCTTTGGAGCTTGTCGAGGCAGAGCGCAGCTGGGAGAGCTTGGCCTGCAGGCACGGGTGTGTCGAGACATGTGCATTGGGGGGCAGAGTCGCCATAGCCGCACGGTTCACACTCGACTATCACGCCGTGGATGCGTGAATGCGTGAGAGCGTCGGAGATTTATTGAGGGAGACTGGATTCAATGCAGGGCGACGTCTGGCGGGAGCGGCGGGGGATATGCAGCCTCTAGGTGTAGCGCATGATGCTGCAAGCTTGTCCCTGGAGGCGATCCTGACCAAGACGGCAGGGCGTTATTCGGTGTTTTTGGCCAGCATCCTGGGCTTCCACCATGCCGGACTGGCGCCTCATGCCGTGCTCGATATCGCTATATATGCCGTGTCTGCCCCCAGGCCAGCGCGAGGGCAGCCGGCTATGGCAGACAGCGACGATGGATACCAGAGTCAGCGCGAATCGCACTACAACCAGCAGCGCTCATCCTTCCGCTCTGACAAATCGGTTCAGAGCCCGTCCCGGCCACAGAGCGCGCAGTTGACGGACTATGCGCTGCCCGAGAACTACGCCAATCTGAACGAAGTCGCAGCCCCGCCGCCCGTTGAGAATCCCGTCGACTCGGCTATATACAGACACCAGAGCCTGGAGGATGCAGGTGCTGCGGGTGTTGTGGGGGCAGGCGGGAAGAGGAAGAAGAGCGGCAAGGGCGGGCGGGCAACTGCGACTACGACTGCAACGGCGACGGCGACGAGAGAGGACTACGCGATGCCGGATGCCTACGACAACCTAAACGAGGTCGCCAGCCCGTCGCCCATCGAAAACCCCTGCGAGCGCAGCTTCTACTCCCACCACACCCTCGAGGAAGAGCGTGCACACTCACGGGGCTCGAGAGGAGAAAGGCGCGCCCAACAGCGCTCGCGGTCATCGCACCACCCCAGCCCATTGAGTCGTCGAGGCACCGATTTCAGTGTCACAGCGCTTCCGCCTATCCTCGACAATGCAGGTGGCCATCACCACCAGCCGAAAGAGTTAACATCCTCAGACGAGTACATCGCATCGAAACCAACCCCCCGGCAACAGAGGGCCTCTCGATTCGCGACGCAATTGTACACCATCTCGTACCTCATCATCTTCTCAATCCTGGGTACCTTGGCTCGACTCGGCCTTCAATGGCTGACCTTCTACCCCGGCGCCCCCGTGCTTTTCTCAGAGCTCTGGGCCAATGTCACGGGCACTCTCTTCATGGGCTTCCTCTCTGAAGACAGGCAGCTGTTCCGCGACGAGTGGGGTAAGGCCGCGTCAAATTCGATCCCGAGCCTAGCAGACGACGAGGAGAAGGCCATAGACCTTGCAACAGCCAAAGCCTCTCACGCCAAGGTCAAAAAGACAATCCCACTCTACATTGGCCTTGCAACAGGCTTCTGCGGTTCCTTCACATCATTCTCATCCTTCATTCGCGACCTCTTCTTCGCTCTTTCAAACGACCTCCCTTCCCCAATCAACCACCCCTATCCTGCCGCAAACCCTATTAGCACAACCTCAACCATCCCTCGAAATGGCGGATACAGCTTCATGGCCGTATGCGCTGTCATCATCATCACCGTTGCGCTCTGCTATTCCGCCCTCAAAGTGGGCGCCCACCTCGCCATCTACCTAGAGCCTCTGACTCCCAGACTCCCTTTTCCCCTTCTCCGGAAGATCATCGATCGCACCACAGTAGTCATAGCATTCGGCACCTGGCTAGGCGCAGTCCTCATGGCCATCTGGCCTCCAGACCGCCCCGGCGGCCCATCCAGTCACGGCTCTTGGGCTCGCGAAACCTGGCGTGGCCAAGCCGTTTCTGCTTGTGTCTTCGCGCCTGTGGGCTGTCTCCTGCGCTTCTACCTCTCTCTTCAACTCAACGGGCTTATATCTTCCTTCCCACTTGGCACCTTCTGTGTTAACATCTTCGGCACTGCAGTTCTTGGCATGGCCTTTGATCTTCAGCACGTGCGGCTAGACAGTACGGGTCTGGCCGGTGGTGGGCGAGTAGGATGCCAGGTTCTCCAGGGCATAATGGATGGCTTTTGCGGCGCGTTGACCACGGTTAGCACGTGGATTACTGAGCTAAATGGCTTGAGGCGGGGTCATAGTTACGTTTATGGAACCGTGAGTGTGGTGAGCGGTCTGGGCATCTTGGTCATAGTCATGGGTAGTGTAAGATGGACCGTTGGTTGGACGGTGGTGGCTTCTGTCTCGTAGACAAGATGTACCATGGTGTCAGGACATACGTGAGAGGAGGCTCTAGTTGTATAAGTATCGTTGCATTGGATTATGATATAATTGGCTTAGGTAATGCTTGAAAAGGGATGCATCTGGCACGGAAAGGTGAGATAAGATTTCAGGTAGAATAATTGGTCCTGTCGCGGTGAGTCTAATGACGATACATGAGATACTGCCAATGAAAGGTTTATAATTTGTTTCTTTATTGTACTTTCCTCTCGGTTGTTTTGGCTCTTCGGCTTTTCTCTTTCGAACCCTCGTAGTACTCAAATAACCGCAACACCTCCAAGCACAGCTCGCCGACAAGGTCAGCATGTCTACCACTACTCCACACACACCATCCAGAAAGAGCATCTCCTAAAATGTGATCCCGATTGGCGGTGTTTGTTTGAGTGTTTATATACTCTCTATGTGGGGTCCACATTCTGCCGCAGAGTGTTCTTGAGAGATCCCGGTTCAATCAGACGGCTTGACCCTCGCATCGCGGCACTTAATAGAAATCATCAATGATGGCTCGGCGGCCTTGTGGCATGTGGAATGTGGGCGTGTTCTTGCAAAGAAGCAACCCACATATGAGTAGCGTTCACGCCTCGCGTTAATCGCTGGGCCATCGCCATTCAAGGTCTTTGCATCCTATACTTGAACACTCACAGCCTTTCGCACCCAGTTTCTCCAGTCCGCATATAGAGCAGGAATTTCACAATGGGAATCCTAAACCTCAAGATTTGGGCACTATCCAGCTTCCTAATTTCCGCCACAACTGCCCTCCCATTCGGCGCCTCCTCGTCCACATGTAACCAAACCACCCTCTCAGACGCTGCCGACATGTATATCGCCGCCCAAACAGCCGGAAACCCGGACTCACTCCAACCTATTCTCTCCAGTGGCTTTAGCTACCAAGAAAACAATAAAGTCCTCGACATTAAGAAAAGTGTGCTCACTAAACCCCTGAAAATTGAGCACCGCCGCACAATCTTTGACCTCGTCCTCTGCGCTACTTACACCGAGGTCATAGCTCCCGCGGCCGCGAATCCATATGTTATCGGCACGCAGATACGACATGCGGATGACGGGAAAGTTGTGTCAATCGACAGCATCGCCACAACAACGAATTCCTGGCTTTTCAATGCCACCAAAACCCTTGAATACGTCAAAGCAGAAAAGTGGGACCCACTCCCCGAATCCCAGCGCTCTCCGCGCGCAGTCCTACAAGCCGCCGGCGACGCCTATCTCGATATGTGGAGCAACGCGACGGCCGACAAGGCTATCCCCTGGGGCACACCCTGCACAAGACTGGAAGGGTCTGCGTATACGGGCAAGGGAAAAAGTGATGATAGTTGTAAACCGGGTATTCCAAGCAACCATAGTCAAGCGCCGAACACACATCGACGGTATGTTGTGGACGAGAGTATGGGCAGTGTGAGCATATTTTGTGTGTGGGAGCATATGATGATGGCGGCGGACAGTCATGAGTTTAGACTAGAGGGAGGGAAACTGAGGTATGTACATACAATGACAGAGTGTGGGGGTAAGGTATGTAAGCTCTAGATGAACAAATTGGGTAGTGAAGGCGAAGTAAGGAAAGTGCTAGGGAGATGTGACAAGAGTTCGCGAGATATAAGTAATTCCTTCAAGGAAAGCCTAGTGGAAATAGGCGAGGTGTAAAGGGTAGTGGTAGCCACAATATCGCAAATATACTGTATAGAGAATACCTTTAGGGCGCGACGCAACTGTCTTGAAACCCACTACTACAATGTATATTTCCTAGCAAAGATGAGCGGTGCAGAAAACCGACAAGCACATGTAGCCAGGGTCTATAAGCATCAACGCACGCACTTATAATAGTTCAGCTTAGAGTATCTATAAAGTGTACAAACAACCACAAAGTTATACATATACTCTGTAGAGAGAGGCTCTAGGTTTCATTACAGATATATTAAAGGACACTGCTGCGCATGCTATGCTTTTTGCAAAGAAAGCCAATGGAGGAGAAGTAATGCAGTGCCTTAATATGAACCAATAACAACCGGCCAGTCGACCAGCATGTCAGGAGCTTAATCTAAAGGGACGAGTTTCACAAACTGACCCATCTCGATAGTCTCCATAGTCAAATTTTGGATCCCCTCCCACATCATGTCAGATAAGACATTCATCTCGACGCCGGTTTCCTCGTGTCTCTGCTCCACTGAAAATAATCGGAACCCTTCCTCAATCCTCTGGTCCTTGTCCTGCTCTAACACCGGCTCAGGGATGTCTGAGCTCAGCAACATGTACCACAAAGGCTAGGGCTGCCACATCTATTCGCAAACATATTCGATTCCCTCTTGCTCGCTGGCCTTTGTTCTCCCCTCCCTTGTCGTGACGACCGGATCTATGGCACTGCCAGAATCTAAGAAACGCAGTATATTTGCACGTCGTTGCGATTGGAACGGCGGTGCTATTTAGAATTCTCATCGAACAGGGCTGTTATGAGTTACAGCCAGAGACCACATAATCCTATTTGTGCCTTAATTCGCCAGCGCTGAGATATCAACTTTAAGTTAACTCTCCCGGTTCAGGGGTCGTTGTTCAGATAACACAATCTTTATTGCACCTTTTCTAGTGGCGCTTAGTAATATTGCTATTTAGTAACCGATTGGGGGCTGTTATGGAGGGGTTTGATGTAGATACGACGTATACACGTCGAGGGCTGGAGGTGTCTCGAGAAGAAATGTTTGAGAGATAGCTGTATAGCTGTGGTTAGGTGCGAGGACTTCGAGGACTTTAAGTCCTTGTTGGGAGAGAGGAAAGCGAGCGCCAGAATCCTCGGGCACTTGCGCTAATATTGGGTGAACTGACATGTAGGGGGCCATATTACCCATGTCTTTATTGAAGTGTAGCTGTTGAATTGTGAAACTATGAGATGGGACGAAGAAGTTGAGTGAGAGAAATGGCAGTATGCGTCGAAATTTGTCGGTAGTTTCATGAAAAGGTGGCATATAGTGAAATGTTCGAGGAGGCGTTGTGGCGGTGAGCCTGTTGAACTGTGTCGAAGCCGTTGTGAAGAGATGGGATGAAGTAAATAAATTGAGCGGAATAAGAAAATTGCACAGGAGATGTGGCCAAAACAACGGAAAATGGACGAAACTATTGTTGGTTGATAGAAGTGCAGGGCAAGAGTCACATATGATTAAGATTATCGTGGTGATTGAGTCCTGCGGGTGTTCTCAAGGTTCACTAGCCTAGCATCCGTGATACCGTGACAGGACCAAGAAGGAAATCTGGAGACTGCAAAAAATCCTTACAAGTAGCTCCTGATTCAGATTCTTCTCAAATTCTTCTGTCCGAAGAACAAACCTTGACCCTTACTCCCTTGCTGTCTGCTGGGGCAAACGGCGAGAAGAAGTCGTGTTCAGTACTTACATCCCTCTCCGTGGTATCGAACAATTCGAGGTGGTACTTCCAGAACAAATTACCTGCCACGAGGAGAATCTCTTGCTTCGCGAGGTCGAGCCCAACGCATTGTCTCACACCCTTTCCGAACGGTACAAATCCTCTCTCCATCTGTGCAAGCTCTGCCGGGCTCGCGTCTATCCACCGATCAGGATTGAATGCTTTGGGTTCTGGGAATATGCTCTCATTGAAATGCATGTCGCGTATGGACATCGATACAACGGTGTTGGGCGGGAGCGTGTAAGTCTTACCAGAAGGTGCTGTGTAAATCATGGCTGCTGTAGGGTTCCGACGAGGCAAGCGTCCAACAACCGAAGAGCTTACTCGCAGCGCTTCTTTCATCGTGGCCTTTAAGTATGGCAGTGGTTCTAGAGTGCGAATCGTAAGTAGACCGTCCGGGGGAGTGCCGGAGTCCGCAGCAGCCATTTCGAGTTCTTTTTTCAACTTGTACTGAATAGATGGATTGGCGATAACGTAATACGTTAGAACCGAAAGGGTGTTTCCGGTGGTCTCAGTCCCTGCTCCGATAATTGTCACACACTCCTCCCATATCCTGGTAAAGGATTTCTGCTCTGCGGGAAGCGTGGTAGATGTATAGATAGCGTTAAGTACTGTTGGAGTTTCTTTTGTCTGTTCTTTCTGTTCGACTACCGCCCGAGCTTGTGAGAGAAGATCCTGCGCTAGTGTAAGCTACATCGGCCACGGAGCCGCACTAAGTATAGACGGCATACTGACATTTTGATTATCAATGATAGCCAAGCTCTGTCCTTGTGGGTCGAGAAACGCGATAACTCCTCTCGGAATCGAAGTGATGAGTGGATATATGATGGGGATGTGTCGGTTCCAGTTAATGATACCAGCAGTGTCTCTAAGCACACGGTTGAAAACTGCTGCGAAATCAGAGCTGTCGAGGAAGTTTCGTGTTTTCGGAGCGGCATAATCCGTGATGATATCGGTAGCGAGGCATCGATAGGCATTCTGAATATCAATCGCCTTATCGTTGGCCATGTGCTGTTCAATTCGCGTGCACAGCTGTTTCACACGGGACAGAACTCGAGGTTCTAACTTCCCAACATGCGCTTTCGAGAAAAACTGAGCATAAGCTCCCCGCCGGATCCGATGAAGGTCTGGGGATACGGTTGCGACTGCGGCACCGTTTATCCCAAATCCGCCGTAATATATGGGGTCTTTCTCCATTCGGCTATTGGAATAAAGAATGTCCCAAAAAGCCGGGTCGTTAATATGGACCTCCCATGGGTTGATGCGCACAATGGGTCCTACAGACGTCATGAGTGTTCATCAGACGCAAAGTTAAGAATCAGAAGCAACATGGTTTACCATATTTGCGATGCATCTCTTCAACTTTGAAGAAGTATCGACCCGACTTGGGGCAATTCCACCAGAACTCGTACAAAGACGTGCATACTGCGTACCAATCTCCTGGGACAGAAGAGAGCGGGTGGAATAACACCTGATAGAGGGCCTTTGAAACACAGTAAACAAATGTCGCGCCAAGAAGCCTTAGGACTGTGTCCGTGATATTGGTATTTGCCGTGGATACCATGCTGGATAGTTGCTGAGATTTGTGTTGTCCTGAAGGAGGGAAGCCTGCGCTGGCTGTGGAGGTTGAGATTGGGTTCTCCAGAACTGCTGCAACGACAGACTCGACCTCGAGAATTCTAACCGGATATGGCGACATGCCCGTGATCCTTGTTATAGCCAATTGTTGTTGCGCAACGGCTCGTTTTCGCAAACTGCATTGTATGCCACATTATTGTTTTTGTTTCTGACGGGCCTGAAAGCAGGCATAAAATCAGTTGAGTAACATGCGATTTTGAAGTCGTTGGTCACGTACCCCTCTAATAGCTACGAGCAACGCTATCTGAGAGGCTAAGCTCTAGAGAGCGGAAGTTCATATTAGGTTCGCCTTCGACTGTCAACGACCTACCGTGTCGTGTCGGCCTTGCACTATAGCCTTGGAGATGCTAGAGGAGGGTGGTGATAGGAACGCTAACCCTTGACAAAATCGGTTAGATGGGTAATTATGTAATCAGCAAGTTGGAAGGACTATGTAGAGCCTACATCCGTATTGTCTATTATTTCCTATCGCAATCTCTCCACTTGGGCCAAGGAGACCTTGCTATCCGGCGGTGGATGAAAATCTTATCAAATACCTAGATTCTACATTAATGTCGATTTTTAGATCTACCCTAGCTAGTCCTTGACTCTCTCGGGAGACTTGCCTATCCGAATATCAAGAGTCTGTTTTGCTTTCTCTAGAAATAGGGTCTATCTCCATCGCATCGAACCTAATCTTCATGTAACCAGGCCAAGCCACTATCTACTAGTGCCTGCACCTCTCTATATATCATGACTGCTCTAGAGGCTCCACACCAATACACCTCCCTTCCGCTGCACCACCACAGGCTTACACTTCATCCATTAGCAGAATCAATTAATGTACTGCAGTCTGAGGCCATGCTATGCCTCAATGCTACGTTCCACTGTCTATTTTCGGCGTTGCTGTAGATGACATTACGAACATCTTTCAGTATGCCTCCCTCGACTCCGTAATAGGGGTCCAGAGCCTCAGTGGGTGTGCCTTGTCTGGCCCATTAACCACAATGAAAGGGGTACCAATTTAATATAACGAATACTGGGAGTGAATGCAGAGAAAGGAGAACCTGGGGAAACGTGGGTGGACTGATTTCTACCCTCCAAAATACGTCTTAGTTGTTTTCCGATGGGGAAAATGCGCGTCTTCAAAAGCGCTCCGGCAAGGAGGAAAGGTGGGTTTAACTCCAGGTAGAGTTCTCAAGAATACACGCCACGACATGCAAGGGCTTTGAATTGAAGTGATGTGATACATATGCACTAACGAAAAGACACGGACATCTAAAGCTGTTGAGGATGCGACGTCGCTGAATGCTATGCCGCACGAATGTACCCATTCCAAGCGAAATCCCACTAGACGTCATCATAACCACAGCCTTCTACAAAGGATAGTACCTCGATTGATGGTGCCGGTGTTCAAGGTATGATAGTGAGAAAATACTCTTAGATAGTATAATTCGTCCCATATCAACGATGTAAGGGTATACTGTAACATACCGAGGATTTTCCCGATCCCCACGAACACATGGACTGAATAATTTATATAACCCCGTGGCTGTGCAGCGGAAGAGCGTTGTATTAATGTGGAGCCTCTCGGGCAGCCATATTATGTAGAGAGGGATAAGCATTAGTAGATAGTAGCTTGTCCTGGTCCGCCAGCATTTATTTGTCACTCCTCCCTTTTGTTGGCCAAGCCTACGGCATGCAAAGTCCACCATGTTCATCTGTTTCATCCGTCGCAGGGGAAGAATTTTCAACCAACAACAAAGAGTCTCTATGACGTGGGGACATTATGGGGGATGAGGCCTGAACATACGAAAATCTCCCCCTGGAGCAATGTGAGTGGTGGGTAAGTGCGGAGTAGTAGGAACAGGCACTGTCATCGCATAATAGGTTCGGATGGCTAGGTCAGATATTAAAACCGGCTGTGATAGATGAGGCAGAACAAATGAAGTTATTCTACCGCTGCTTAAAAAGGCAGGAATACATTCTGTCGACATGTCTCAATTCAAGACATATGTCTTTGCCATAGGGTTCGCTTGTGTGTCACCGGGAAGTAGTTAGCTCCATCAAATTTCGAATTCGTCCCTTGAGCAATGTCTTGGGTGCTGGTCTCAAACTTCCAAGATGACGGTTCGCGATTCACGGCAGATATTTACCTTGCTGGTTCAGCTTGGAATGTCTTCGATAAGATTTGGTGGGCCTCAGAGTCCGATGTTTTGATATGAGACTGTTGAGTTCTAGCCTCTCATCATTACGCACGCCTCTCTCCTATTCCTATTTACGTCTCTTGAAGTGTTCCTTGTTAGTGAACTTTAATGCCGAGCATCGAGTCACCGCTCGCTCGACCAACCCTCTGTCCATGGCTACCTAAACTTATTGCTTAACCAGAGATTCGTCTTCAAGTCAAAATCTATGACGCAGCGCAGCAAGCATAACAAGTACGACGCTCAGGATTTCCAAGGCCACCAGCTAATGCTGTCAGCCTATTGGACTCTACTCTAACCTTTACATACACCGAGATTCCATTTTCCTTTCAGTGACGCGAAAGGCTACAAATAATGCACTGTCGAATCCTCCGCCGCTAGTTTCGTATTCGTGCCTCAATATGTGTGTCTCAGAATTCGACTATCCTGGCCATCTCATTTCTAAGACCCGGGGAGTATACGGATCCCTCCCAATTGGCCACTAGAAATTACGCCAGAGCCGGAAGCCCTACTACAGATCCCCCTCTTATAGATAGGTGAGACATATATGGAGTAGGGATGCATATGGAACTCTTAATGGAGGCAACATATACAGCCAGTATCCAATTTCTCTGACGACCGAGGGTGTCTGGAACCCACTCTGTTCTTTCCCAGCTCAAGTAGCATGAGCATAAATATCAATGGCACTAGCGGATAATACCTTGAATTCAATGCGGTCGATTTCTACTTCTTTACTGCCTAGCCCGAACCAGGTTAGCACGAAACACGCCGGGGTCTCTGTTTTCCTTACCATGCAGCCTTATTGGGGATATGGGTGCTATCGGTGCGAATATGGCTACCGTGATGTCTACCAGATTCCCGAAGTGGTTCCGAATTACCCTTCTGCGGACATACCACTCGATATGAGATATCTTCCTGTTTATCCTTGCCGGAAATGGACCTATGCTAACTGAATTGGACTATGTAGACTGATATTGATTGTATGGAACTGCGAAAAGCGTCTACTTTGGATCCGGAAGATTTTCACATGAGAAGATGCGCAAACTCGTTACATATCTCCATGAGCACCACCAGCATTACGTAGTGATGGTAGATCTGTACTCAACCTATCAGGGTTACCCTGCTATCAATAATAGAGAGTATATGGGCATCTTCCCCAACACGCGAAAACGGGTGTATCTACAAAGGCATGGTTTGGCCTGGGTTTCACAGATTGGATCCATCCCGACACTCAATCTTGCTGGGAAAATGCGTTTCCTACATTCTTTAATGTCAATACAGGCGATGATATCGATGCTCCGTAAGTTGCACCCTACCATATTCAACAAGGTGCTCGATAGGAACAAATCGACTTAGATCGATTGATATAAATGAGACTTCCAGTTTCTGTCCATTCTATTGTGGTGACCCCAAAGACACTTTATCTCTGGCTATAATGTTTGCAGAGGCTGACCATGACCCTAGACTTTGCTAGGAAGTCTGGAAATCCTCACAACCACCGCCAGTAAGGAGCGACTCTGGAATACTTATCCTAGGCTTGCCTGCTGATTTCCAGTCAAAATTGTACCGGCTGGCCATTCACACTCCTGATGAAGAGCAGTACGGGTTTCGCGTGAAAAGTGCACTGGCAATGGCTAAAGCGGCTGGGGACGTTGGAAACCTTCGAGGGTGGTAGGTCAAGATAGCACGTGACGGTACTCGGAAGAATAGTTGTGCCTGTTTCCGCTAGCCTGGTGAACTTTTGGCGACTAAGCTTTCGAGACGGTGAGCCCAGCAACAACAAACCGGCAACTGACAAAATGCTGTGCGCAATCTCTGGGGTAGCTCCCCAAGTCCCTGTTGCTTCACGCAAGAGCGGTAATGTCTTCGAGAAACGCCTGATTGAGGCTCACATCGCCGAAAGCCAAACCGACCCAGTAACTGGTGAGGAGCTCTCCGTCGACGACCTCATCGAGCTCAAGTCTGCCCCCGTCGTGACAGCACGCCCGCCCAGTCTCACCTCTATCCCCGCTCTCCTCAGCGCGTTCCAGACCGAATGGGATGCTCTCCTCCTTGAGTCGTACGCCCTGAAGAAGCAGCTGGCGCTGACGACGCAGGAGCTCAGCGCAGCGCTGTACGCGAACGATGCTGCCACGCGAGTTATTGCAAGATTGAGCCAAGAGCGCGACGAAGCTCGAGAAGCTCTTTCGAACGGGACTATACGTGAACGTGGCGCTACCAGCAACGGAGACGCGATGCAAATTGACAGCCAAGGTCTCCCTGACGACCTCGTCGCTAAAGTTGATGAGGCTCAGCAACAGTATGTCTATGCCCACGGCGAGGGCTTTCCAACCCCAATTTCATTGCTAACATCGCATAGACTCTTCGGCGGGCGACGAAAACGCCACATTCCCGACGGCTGGGCTACCGCCGACAACATCGCGTCTCTCCATGTAACAAGCTCGACCGACGCTCTGTTCCTAGACAGCCCCACAATTGTCCTCGACGAGTCTGGAGACTTAGCACTCTTCGGAGGTGCCAACGGTGTTGCCAGCGTCTACTCTCTATCACAACAGAAAGTGCTTCATGCCTTACAGTGCGGCTCTGCCGTGACGGCCACGTTATGGTGGCAGTCCCGTGCGATTGTTGCGACTTCAGCCGGCACCATCAAGGTGTTCGATGGTTCCAATGAGGTTGCAGAGTTGGGGTCACACGCAGGACAAGTGACGTCCATTGCTCTTCATCCTAGCGGCGCTATCCTGGCCTCGACAGGAATAGACAAGTACCTCATGTTCTATGATCTATCGAGCTTTAAGGTGGTTTCACGGGTCTATACTGAAGCTGCCATTACTTGCTGCGCGTTTCACGTAGATGGCTTACTCTTCTTTACGGGCAGTCCGGACGAGCGAATTCGAATCTACGACGTTAAGAATGGTACTAAAATGGCCGATCTCGAGACGGGTGGAGCTGTTCACAGCATCTCCTTCTCAGAGAACGGGACCTGGTTCGCAGTTACCCAGACTGGTTCGAGCACTGTGTCCGTGTGGGATCTTAGGAAACAGGCAGTTATCAAGGTGCTCGATGTTGGCAGCCCAGTGAACAACATTCATTGGGATTACACCGGACAGTTCTTGGCGACGGCAGGATCCGGTTGCGTCTCGGTGCAACAGTACACAAAATCTTCAAAGAGCTGGTCGGAGCCTGTTCGGAAGGCTGTTCCTGCGCGGGATGTCGCATGGGGTTCCAATGCATCCGTGTTAGTAGTTTTATCCCCAGAGGGCGCATTGAGTATTCTTAGTGGAGCGTAAGGCGGAAGGGGAGCTGCGAGCGAGGCAAGTTCGCAATATTGAAGTAGAACAGCAAGGCTAGAGGCCCCAAAAGGAGACGCTGTGTTTTCGAAGAGTGCCTGGGCTGCCGGGCTTGTACTCTCAGCGTGTTGGATTGGTCCTGAGAGCACTCCGGACTTGGCACTACCTAAGTAAAATGGAATTGGCTCGGCGGATGGCATCCAACAAAATGTAACATAGATGAATTGTTCTAGAAGTAGTAGGGGAGAACAGGAGACCCTTGGAATTCTTCCAGATGCGCTCTCACGTTCGTTTTGACAGGTGAAGCCCGCACGCTTTAGACGGAGCTTGGCGGCCATAGTGGGAGAGGAGACCAAAGCTAGGAGGTAAAGCGGAGATGGGCGTAGCGCTCCCAAGCGGCGACGGCCTTCATTCCGAGTGAATGCAGCATCGGGGGATGCTCTTTGCGTCGTGGATAGGGTTGTTTGGCTAAAGGAGTGAAAGAGAAAGCGGCATGGTTCCGAAGCTCGCCCTCCATGAATTCCTCATCCTTGCCACCACCAACAAACCCACCTCACCAAACACCGATCACTCCTCTCGCCTGCCCTCACGCCTCCTTTCCCCTCCCTCCACCTTTTCCAGCCCTTTCTGTTAACGCACCCTGCCAGCGCCCCAGAGCATGGACAGCGATTTTGGCTACGGCTATTCGCGTCCGCACTCGCACAGACACAACAAGGTGGGTTCATGGTGCCGCCGACCTAGACGGTGGCCGCAGCGCAGAGTGAAAGCGTTTCGCTGACGGTTTCTCCACCGCAGAGGACGCATGCTCAAATGGAGCATAACCGCTCCACGTCGCCGACCTGGAGCTCAATAAGCCGCCTCTCAGTGTCCCGCGAGCCCAGTAGCCCTTCACACCCGCAAGTTGCAGGCCCGACGCTGCCACGGATCCCCAACATGGCCTCCAGCCAGCCGCGAAGATACCTGGGCGATGGATTCGACTACCGAAGACCCATTTCGCTCTCGAGGAATGACGCCCAGACCCCGCTGATCGACCTGACAGCTGACGATGCGGGCCCCTCGATGTCGAGCAACGCCCAGACTGCCGCTCGAGCGCAGCGGCCACCACGCTTCCCCCGCGAGATCATCGACCTCGACGACGACGCCTCCGCGCAGCCGGTAGCCCCTCCAGATTCGCCTGATATTCAGTTCATCTCTGCACGAACCCTTGATCCGCCGCGACGGCCTGTCCCTCCCACTCTCCGGACAAACACGCCCAACAACGATGGCGACGATGACGACCTAGAGATCTTGGGGGTCCATAGTGTGCCTGCTGAGCGACAGGCAGCGGGAGAGTACTTCGACCAGATGGTCGACCATTTCCTCGAGAACATGGTGCAAGGTCCCGGCCTTACTCGTTTCCAGGCCGAGGTCCAGAGGATACGTAGGCCGGCAATACCACCTCGGGCTGGTGGGGCTCGTGGACGACCCCACGTACACGTTGGGTTCATGGCGCCCGAGATAGACTTCCACGTGGTAGGCTTCGACATGGGCCTAGGAGGAGGACCTGCTCCACCGCCACCGACATACGATGCACCTCCGGCGGCACCAAACGGCTTCACGAGGTCACCAGTTGAGGGCGATGTTCTCGTCTGTCCGAACTGTGAAGACGAGCTATGTTTGGGTGACTCGGATCTCAAGAAGCAGGTGTGGATCATAAAGAAATGCGGCCACGTGAGTTCCCTATCTCAAATCCAGCGCATTTCTGGCACACTAACAGGGTTCTGAAGGTTTACTGTGGAGACTGTACCGCAAACCGGGCCCTCAAGACCAGACCAAAAGGCAAAGAAAAGATAGGCCTTCTTCGCCCCAAGACCTTCAAGATCTGTGTGGTCGAGGGCTGCGAAGAGAAAGCGCACACTCGAAACTCCATGATCCAAGTCTTCCTCTGAGTTTGCGGCTCCCCACACACCTTATGACCTGTTTCAGACTAACCAAATTCCCTTCTCCCTCTCTCCTGCGTTGGTTGGAATCGTGGCATTTTAGCGATACCCTGCATTAAATCGGCTTTCCGGGGGTGACATGATTTCACTGCTCTCGACTAGCGCCGTCTTGGGGTCTGTTGCTGGTTGCATAGCCCTGGTGTTGGCTGGTCATCTCGTGGGTTTCTTTGGTGCTTCATGGGCGACATGGGATGTAATGCGGGACATGCGGGTGAAGGTATAACGTACATATAGATACCGAACAAGCATGGTTTGGATCAAAGCAGCGTGAAGTATGTGCGCGGCGTTAACCCCGGCGATTAGAATTTGCCAAGCATCCAGGGCACATGCCCCTGTCATGAAATTCATCTGTGCACTACGAGCTCAACAACGAGCGCTTCTGACTCCTTGCTCTGCAGAGTAATATCGATAGCTTCCGCACACTTCTGAAATGTCGTCCAAATCTCAGCCAAAGCCAAAAGCGTCGTCACTCAAGACTGCCTACCTTCTCGCGTATAACGCGCTATCGACGGTCCTTTGGTTCCTTGTGCTGAGACGAGTTGTTTCAATCGCATCAACCAATGGCCTGAGAAATGGACAAGTCTACCATCACACAGAGAGCTTCTGCCGGCTCACACAGACGGCAGCGGTCCTGGAAGTTGTTCATTCGCTGTTCGGTATTCCTCCGTTTATTCCTACGCACCTTGCGGAAGGAGGCTAACAAGAAGTCTGTAGGAATCGTACGCGCCCCACTCCTGACAACCCTGATGCAGGTTGCAAGCCGCCTCCTGCTTGTCTGGGGCATTGGCTACAATTTCCCCCAGACGACTAAGTTTTCGCCGGCGTATAGCAGCATGCTGGTCGCTTGGAGCGTGACCGAGGTCGTGCGGTATTCATATTTCGTCTTTGTCCTGGGTGGCACAGGCGTACCTTGGTTATGGACGTGGTTGAGGCATAGCTTCCCATAAGCCCTCCCCCCTGCGAGCTTTTCTGACAAAAATCCCAGGTACAACACTTTCTTGGTCCTCTACCCCCTCGGTGTTGCTAGCGAGACGTGGTTGGTCTATAACGCCATTGGGCCGGCTTCAAGAATTAATGAGACATATGGGTATGTATTGTATGGTATTCTGGCAACATATGTGCCAGGATTCTACATGCTCTTCACGCACATGCTGAAGCAGCGGGGGAAGGTCATGCGCAGCAAGACTACCTAGACGCATCATACCACTGTTTCTGTGGAGAAAATGCCCTCATCATAACCCGGCAAGCTACCCGTAAGACGTATAGATATCAGCTTTATCTTCTTCACAGAGTGTATCCCCTGGGCCCTAAGCCATGCACTCCACCCTCGATATATACATAAACAGACGTAGAGATACAACTGAGAGTGCCTGACGAAGATTTGGGGTGTAGTCAACCAAAGGGGCAAACAGTTCAGGCGGTGGCTCGTGGCACGTCATTCCTCAATTTGTCTTCGTTCTTCATCTTGCCTTGTCCCTTCTCCCTACTCTATCTGCTCCATGTCCGAGTCTCCTCTCCATCCCTGTTTCTTGAGCCACACCAATTTCACCGGACGTTGGTAGTGGCGACGGCAGCCCCGCTCCAGGACCTGGCGATACTGCAGTGGGTGGCTGTATAAATATAGCTGGCCGAGAGATATGCTCGGCCGCATCCATTTCATAAATCGCTGGGTTCTGACCATCATGAGATGTTTCCCTTCCACCGGCTTCAGTCGGCAAACTCGACCCATCCATCTCAAATTTCCTCTCTGCGTCAGGAGCTTCCAAGAGTCCGAATTTGTGATGCCCAGGTAGTTCATGCCGGGCTCTTGAGTCCAGTTCTTCAAGCGGTCCATCCTTTTGCTGGTACGTAGCCCCAGCTGGCAGCGGGTCGAGAGATGTACTCGTGCCCTCTAGTTCAAAGCTTCTTCTGCCGCTCTGGTGGCGTCGACGTATGTACAAGATTAAGCCTAGGCAGATTCCAAGCACAAGGACCGCAATCCCGACTGCCATTCCCATGATTGCTCCCGTAGAAAGAACGCCTTTACCACTACTGCCACCGCCACCATTCCCAGTAAGAGGGTTTGATGAGTTGATTGAGGTGTCGTTTACGGAACGTATACCTACAATTTTGGCATTGTTGGTGTTGGAACCCCATGAGCATGGCCAAACAGAGAAGTTGGAGCGCTCATAGTCCGCTATTAAGTAAGCTTCTTGGAGGAACGCGCGGCCCAAGGTGTATTGGGTTTCGTTTGCGGCACGCTTGAGAGGAAAATAATACGTTGTGGTGGAAGCGTGTGGCCACGAGATGTTGAGATCGAATGCGGAATAAGGTAGAGTTATGGAGACGGAGTTCTCGACAGATGTTGCAGGAAGCTGAGGCGCTAGTGTGATGGTGATACTGGGATTTAGTTTGGTGAGCGTGTTGTGTTGTGTTGTGTTTAGTGTGTATTGCTTAGAAGAAGCGTTCCAGGTCAAACCAAATGCGGATTCGAAAGATGAACATACGGATTCTGGGAGCCACAGGTGCGGCACGGTCGAGTCGATGAAGGCGAATATGCCGTTTTTGAGGAGGGGGGTGCTGGAGCTTGAAGATGTGCTGTTGCTTGTCGTTATAGAGGCTATTCCGACAAGAATATCCCGTGATATGTCGGTGTAAAAGGGGAAGGTTAGATTAGAAGAAGTAGTTGAGGGAATGTCGAAGCGAGATTCGTCATAGCCGCCAATGACGAGTGAGCCGAAGACTTTATTCAGTCCTAGAAGGAAGTCAGACAAGTGTGTGGAATACGGGTGGATCTACGGATACGAGGTGAAGATCCGAGAGCAAGCTTCATCCAATTCTTTGGAGATTGGGAAAGGCAACTCGCACCTCATCTGAATTAAAGAGCGAGGAGCGCAAACACCCAGGATGTCATATGGAAACGACTTGTTACATGATTGGAAACTTACTGTATGGTGCACCGGCGGTATACGACCAAGATACACTCGGTATATTATTCTGGTTCTTGAGCGCTTGGACAAAACCGACCTGAGGATTATTCAGAAACGTCGAAAAGTTCGTCGGCCTTGGATTCAGTCCTAACACACCCAACCACGAGAAAGTGGTATCCCCAACCCCTGCCACAATTGAATGCTCGACAGATGGTCCACCAGAACCCGGCCATCCCAACGTCACGGAATCAAATCCGAAGTCGCCAAAGACATTGAATTCGAGGTTGCTTTCAACTCCCAGCTCGAAAATCGAATTCGGGACCCAGGTAAGCGAATTATTTGGATTGAAGGTTCCTCCGCGGCTATCTCTGCAATTGTTTGGTGCGTCGGATGGACAGCCTTGATCATAGATGACCCACGTCGAGGTTGAAGCTGTCGATGGTAGGATTCGCACATTCTGCGGTTTTTGGCCAACCTGAATTGTGAATGACGACCAGGTACCGTCATTTCCCTCCCAATATTGGGATACACTCAAGTTACTCAGTGAGACAGCCTATTGTGTGAGATGGATGGTACAATACCTAGCTACTATGGGGGCGGGAATCGTGGTATTCTGGCTTGCGCGCTCCACGAGAACAACTTGATTAACCTCGAAGTCATCTTCCACTGTGTTCCTTTGCAACGGCTTTGCCTCCTCGCGAAACGCTCTATCTCTCATCAGGATCTCTAGTGTTCTCAGACAGATCAGATACCCGAGAAGCCCCAGGCCTTTGTGCCCGAAGGCTTTCATATTTGAGGAAAGACACTCGAACGCATCTAGAGGTTATCCTTCAAGAAGACGGAGAGGAGGAAAGAGAAGTCCAGTAGACTTCAACGCCAAGATCTGGTTCGCAGACATCGGCAGCACCGTTTCCGGCAGGATGGTGCAAGCCGCGCAAGAAGAATGAATGTCATCAGCAGACTCCTTACCAAATGAGCTGAGCCTAACGGCGAGCCTATGGTCGATCGTACATAGCGCCAGCGTCCAGGAAGGCTTCTTGGAAGTGCAATGAAAGGGGATGTGGGCTTAAGAAAGAAAAGAGCTGGGACTCCAAAACCCAGCTAAACCCTTGTCATTTCAGATGCAAGGGCGATCGAAGAAATTGAATTGTTGCTCAGTAAGCGACAGCCCATGCAGATGGCTGTTGAGTGTCGGTTTGGAACAGGGAAATGCTGTGTGTACGAAAAGCGGCAAGTGCTTCCTAATCACCCGCCAAGACGGACGTGTTCCCAATCCGGTCTCAGTTAACAAAAATCCCTCCACAAACCTCAGCCGCCTCCCCAGGACATCATTCTGTCCAGTCCGATAGTCTCATGGCCATCAGCCCCAACGCCAATCAAATGAATCAGTGCGTACTTGCATACTAATAACAGCGGGTGTTTCCGCAGAGTGTGTTCTATGTTCCTAGCAAACGGGCTCCCGAAGTCCTTCTTTATTATCCCAACTATGACCCGCAAACCAGGCTTCCGACTCTCTATTCCTGGCACGGATGAGAGGACGACATGCCCTTAATGGTGAATACCGCTCACTTTGTTTCCTTTGTTGGTGTTTTGCTGTCGTCGTTCAGTGACGGTCACAGAATACCCCAGAATGGGAACTTTGCAAGGCAGGGTGAGTGCGAGCCCAAGCAATCTTGTCTCATGTGCACTGTCTATTGTTTGGTCACCTTCCAAGGATCGCTTATTGCTATGCACTCGAAGTGCTAACCTCGTGGGAGACAGCCGTTTTAAACTCGTCTTTCGCTAGCAGAACCATTTTCTCAACTCCCACGGGCATGACTAGCATACCTACCATCACATCATCTACCTCTCTCACCACAACATCCTCTCCAAGCCCCTCAGGATATGGAACATGTCCTACCATCTATCTACCCGGTCACCCTGTGTCATATGCCACTTTCACGCGGGCATGTGAAGGGGCGCAGTCCAGTGTACTTGACAGCAATTACTATGACTACACTGACCGCTGCCTCGGAGATTGGTGTGATGCTGTGTGGTCGAGTGCAATTCAAAGTTATATAGATGCCAACATTACTCAATCGACTACGTCAACTCGTACATGGTTTCAAGGCTACTATGGGACAGGAAGTCTTTCAACTGTCATAACGGGGCAAAGTTATTGGACGTCTACATACACATGTACATTCTTCACCTTACCCTGAACTCTGTTGGGGGCGCTACTGATTTTAATAGACGTCCAAAACCCTTTTCGAGCCGTTAAGCCAACATCACCATGCTGTCATAAGTGCACGATTAGTGCGCAGACTATTCAGCTGTTCTTTTGGCCAAGCTCAGCTGCAGCCCCACCCCCTACAGTAACAGGTTTGCCAGCCGATGCAACCGCGGCTGTGACCGGGGTTCCTGTCAACGGTTCCGGGAGTTATGTAGATGACACTGGTTTCACCTTGTAAGCAACCCACTTTCAGTACAACGCGGACCTGATATATGCGCTACAGTATATCCCCAAGTGTCTACCTCGGATTTACTTCCCTTGGAGCACATGACCGCTGTGGCCCTGTTGGAGAGGTAAGTCTCTCTAGAATATTCGATGAAGGAGAATTTGATATGGGAACACGCCCTGCATACGCCTCGCGGTCAATATTTCAATTATTGCAAAAAACTGAAACATAACTGCCCAGTTCAACCCCTCCTAGCTCATCATTTGCTTATACATCACAGGCGCTCTATAACACAACACTAGCATTCGACCCTCGTGAAATTAGTAGCATCCTCCCATACACGACCACTGCCACCTGCATCGTTACTGTACCCTTATCTCAAGGTGGTTATACCATTACAGTGTGGGAGAACTCAATGCCTAACCCTCAGCCCTTGACTTATTCGGATGTGGCTCAAAACTGTTCATCAATTGACGGCTACTACTACTTCAGTAAAAATCCATTCTACAACAGCGCTGGGGGTAAGTGGTCTCGATAAATTGGGTATATGTGAAGTCTCCTAACGCGAGTATAGACCCTTGTCATCCTGTAGTCGCCATCCCCACTCGAGTGCAGCAGTTACAGCCTGCCTGGAGCTCCTGTGGCGCAGATTATTATGGCGGTTTCTATGACCCCCCCAAGACGCTTCAGCAGGGACCGGTTCTAGTACCCACGGCTGAGCCCGGCCAAGGGAATCCTACTGTCGTCCCCTCTACTTCAGTGCCCGCTCTCCCAGAAAACGCCCCAACGCGAGGGCCTGATCCTCCAGTATCCAGTTTTGCTGACTCAGGAAACCTGCCTCCAGCCTCAAGTGCAGTCGATCCAGGGAACCAACCTCCGCCCGCATCTCAAACGCAGAAGCCAGCTCCCCCGATGTCCCAGCCTGAGCAACCCCCTCAAGCATCAAGTGCTAGAGACCAGGAACAGCCGGTTCTACCGCCTCCAGGATCTTCCACTACAATTGTCATAGCCCCACCTTCTTCAGAGCAGTCAAATGGCAATCCCCAACAGCCTTCTGCAGCTCCTGTCATCACCCTTGGTCCTGCCCCTGGTTTGAGCAACCCAGGCCAAGTCATAACACTGCTCCCGACAGTTGTCCCCACAAGCCCAAGCAGCCCCTCGAATTCCAATCAGCTAAACAACCCCTCCGGACCAGTAATTATCATTGGCACGCAGACTGTTGGCCCTGGGCAGGCTATTACCGTTGGGGGTACGACATCCACATTGCCAAACGGCCAGACCACCGTCATCAGTGGAACACAGATTTTCCTTGTTCCCGGCGCGTCGCAAGTCATTGTAGGCGGCAGCTCGACTATCAATCTTCCCCCAGCCCAACTGACCAAACCTCCCGCCGTAGTGACTTTGGACGGCTCAACCTTCACCGCCAATTCCGTAAGCCAAATCATTATTGGATCGCAAACATTAACACCTGGAGGTATTATTACAATCGGGGGGATCACTTCAACCCTCATAGATGGCAGCACAACCATCACTGGCGGCACGATTATCAGTCTCGCGCCTGGGGCCACTGAAATCGTGGTTGGTGGCACCACAATCCAGTTGACTGCAGGACCTCATGCAACATCTGGACCACTGGTAATTACACTAGACAGGACGACGTTGACGGCGGATTCTCTTACCCAGTTCGTGTTTGGCAGTTCAACGCTTAGCATGGGCGGTCCAGCGCTCACAATAAGTGGCACAACATACAGTTTGACAACGAATGTGCAAGGGAGTACTGTTTTGATCGCTGGCACAGCCGGTGCATCGACTCTAGCTCCTGCGCGTGCGACGACGGCCGCGGCGTCTATGTCCATTGGCTCGACGAGAGTGAGCATTGGGAGCCAGGGCAGTGCAAGAGGGTCTGCAACTCTTGCAGCACCCCATGCATCGAATACCGGTGCGGCGGGGACATTCAAGTCACATAATGAGTGGGTATGGAGTGTGCTTCTCGGTTTTGCAATGACTCACATACTATAAAAGCAAAATAAAGTTTAGCCGCATGGGTGGAAAAGGGTTGTTGGAATCTAGTGATAATGTACAATGCCATGTGAATATGAAAATTGTCTTACCGGACCAGAGGTCCCTTTCGACCATTACACTCACCAACATCCAGGGCAACCAGAAAGCGGCTGACGCAATTGTAGACAGCGATTGTGGCTGTAATCTCCACGACTTCGCGATCTGAAAAGCTCGCCTTTAGTCTGTCAGACACGGCATCCGAAACAGTTACATGGCATGTCATGTCATCTGTATATAATACGACTGCCCTGTGTTTCTCGTCCAAGATATGTAGGCGGCCCTCATGTGGCGGGGAGCGTAGTAGCATTCAACATGCTCCTCCCGAATCTCTAGGCATGCTCGGAGGAGGGGTGCGTGATGTTCCCACTCAAACCAGGCCTCGTTCAAGACAGCAACACGACATATAGCGGTCTCGCGGATCGAGGTGGAGAGTGTTGTCCTCGTTCGAATCGCGCCGAGGAAAGAGTTCCTGCCGATGGTATGTGCACCAGAACACCTGTTGGGCTCGGATGTTGGAGAACCTAGAGAAGCTCACCAACCATCGGCGACTGGGGGAGAGTGGAGAAGCGCAAGATCCAGCTCGAGCAGGCCTGCGTCGCCGCGCCGGTCCCTCACACGTTCAATAATGGCGCGGTCCTGCTCGTTGGAGGGCGTCGGAGGGTTGGGGACGTAGGGCAGACGCATTTTAGACGCGAGATGACCTACTGCTGGTTTCTCTTTGATAGCTTGCAATTTGCAGTTGATGTTAGATGAAACCCTAATTGCAGCCGATTTGCAATAACGAGGAATTCGGCGATGGCTCCCTCTGTTGGTGCTCTGCATCGCTTGAGTGGTCGTCGACATCGAGCCGAGGCCGGAGCGGGGTGGTCTGATTAAGCAAATCGCTTTTCTCCCTCCGGGCCACAGTGCCTACGCCCTCAGGTCCCATCCATAGATTGCAACCTTAGGACAATATGGTACCCCCAAAAGGTAAACACAACAGGAGAGAGAAGCCAGCGACCTCCAAAAAAGTTACATCACTTCGAGCAGGACCCATCCAAGAGCCCGTCACCAGGTCATTGATGCCTGAGGAACTTCAACAATTACTTCTCAATGTCTTCAAAAATGCTTTCGCCGATCGGCTAGAGGCAGACATCCACCCCTTGCTCCAGGAGGTGAAAACTCACTTGTACAATCGAGACTTCTTGACTGCCTTTGGCCGGCAAGACTACCTTGATGCATATGCCGCGAGATGGAGTCCTTCCCGAGCGTTGGGTTATCTGCAGGTTATGACCGAGTCAAAGGAACAAATACTCCCTACGGTTCATGATGTGAACAAGAGCGATAACCTTGCGACGAGAATTGTTTGTCTTGGTGGAGGAGCTGGGGCCGAAATCGTGGCTCTTGGAGGCTTCATCAGCACACTCGCCCAACCCAAGCCCACCGGAGAGCAACAACAAACCCGATTCGAGGTTGTGGCCATTGACATAGCAAACTGGTCTGCGATTGTGGGCAAGCTACTCCAGAACCTCACTTCGCCACCTCCACTATCCAAGCATGCCTCTGCTACCGCAAAAGCAGCAAATACTGCTTTAGTCAACTCAGAGCAGCTTCAAGTAAAATTTCACCAACACGACATCCTACACGTCGATTTCTCAGACCTCATGCCGTTACTCCAAGGTGCTCATGTCATCACAATCATGTTCACTCTCAACGAGCTCTATGCAACCTCCTTGTCCCTAACCCAAAAGTTACTGTTGAACCTCACATCTTATCTTGAAGATGGCGCCCTTCTTTTAGTCGTAGACAGCCCCGGGAGCTACTCCACTGTCTCGCTCAATGGCACTGAAAAGAACTACCCCATGCAATGGCTCCTCGATTATACACTCCTTCGTCAGGACCATAGAGATGAAGCTCCTGCCTGGACGAAAGTCACTGAGGACGGGTCGAAGTGGTTTCGTCTATCGCATTCTTTAGCATACCCTATCGAGCTTGAGAATATGCGATATCAACTGCATCTCTACAAGCGAAGGAGACTTTCAACGGGCTGAAACTACTTGTTCTCTTTCCACTGACTTTGGCTGGCCACACTCAGGAATATCCGCCTTTTCTGGGGACTTTGGCCACCAACTAAGACATCTGGCCCTGAAATTTTTATAAATTGCAACATTGGTGCTACTGCCTATTACAACGAATGGTAACTAAGCCTTCGTCCGAGTCTCACGGTGGAATTTATGTCCTGCAGAAGCCTATGAATGACGCTTAGCGTGGACCTGAGCATAGAGATGTTCATCTAGAAAGGCTTGGTGCCTGACACCTGGCTAGAAGGGCCGTACTACAAGTGGGAGTATTTGTACTACTCAACGTCCACAGAATTAGTTGCTTCCCAACGGCAACGAAGACCAGTAAACGCAAGCACGTGGCACATAATCAGCTCCTCTAGTATCTTGAGCAACTCCGACATCAATCAATAGCAATTCTCTAGTTCCTGACCCCATCCCTAGTCATCATTCGGCGAACCCTCGGGGACGGCGGCTATGAGCGTGTCTCTAATTCCCATCGATTTGACAGCTCTTGAGCTCTCCTCTAGCCCTAAATTACGAGGACAGTAGAAAGAATAATATTGCGTTATGCGTTTGAATGCAAGTTTGCACCTGACATGAATACAATTAAAACCGTAGAATAACTACTTGTAATTTCAGCTGTTCACGCTCGAGGCAGATGAAATGACTTCGCCTATGCTGTTCTAGCAATGAATATTTTGACAGCCTTCGCCTTGGGAATGAGAGATAGAGCTGTGATCCAACAAATTATAAAACAAAAATTACTCTTGTCCTCTCTCCCTAGCCTTCTAGGAAGTTACAGATAAACACTGGAGCAAGCAAGAAAGCTTAATGGCGGTTGCAAGAAGCACTTGTGCCACAAATTTTGTCTATACGCCCTGAGAGTATATAGACGTTCTGTGCAGCTTATGGGAGCACCAGAGGCATGATGAACTAGATTGATTGCTAGAGGAGGGTAACTACGGGTTTATATAGTACTAGGTGAGCCTGTCATGTGAACTATAGCTACCACAAGCTTAGGCAGCAGCAGGTGAAAATAGTGTCAGGTGACTAGAGCATTGAGAGCTCTGTAACTGCAAACACGTTCCAATCTCTAGAAAATTCGCGCGATATGCCCTTTTCATTAACTAGACTCATGGTTTGGAAGGCATGAAACCCACCGCCCTTCTTGAAGATGTTAGAAATGCAGATTTATCTAAACTTTAATCTATGCTTCTAGACTTAACGTACTTCACAGGCGAGTTGCTTACACAATGTAAGGCCGAGATGGCGCTTACGTGCGACAGGTATATATACTATTCTGCACCCGAAAATCAACGTTGGTTGATTATTCGTACCTTTTGGTTGTATTGGCGGAGTGGTGCGGAGCCCCGTCCTTACACACACCTGAGTCGCTCACTTTTGCCAAGACCACACCCTGACAAACTCTATTTGGCCAATAACAACCCGCTCTAACACTATATAGTATAGTACAGCCTAGAATATTATTTAGATACTACTTCTGCTTCTTGCTTACACATTTGCGTGTTATGCCTAGTCTAATTACACTATCTGCAGCGCCTTTAGAATAGCTTACCTACTTTAGCTTATACTTACTTCTTTACTTTTTTTCTATTACTGTACGCTTTAAACTTTTTTAGAGCTATTAAACATAAGCTTTTTTAAATTATTAAAGTTTTTTTTACTTTAATCTACCTTTTTTTAATATAATTTATGTTATGTAGTAGCTTTATTAGCTACTTAAAGCTTAGTAATTTTTAATATTTTTATTTTTATAAGTATTAATTATAATTTAAGTTTTAAAGTATTACTTAATGTAACAGTGCTGCTTGTTAAGCTCCGCTGCTAGTCACATAATCTCGCTAAGGGTTAAGCAAGCGCGCTAGCGCCTTGGCGCTGCGCAAGCTTTTCTCTCGCGAAAACTCTTCGCCTCCTTCACTCCCCATCCTAGTTTAGCTGAAAAAGAGCCGACCTACTCTACCTTGCTTCCCTAGCTCTATACAGTAGTAGAGATAGTGCTTGTTATTACATTAAACTAGAATTAATCCTATTTTAGCTAGAGGACAGCAACATAATATTAGAGTTAAACTAAGCAATTAGCCTGTATGCTTAATTTGCTAACAACTACCTACTAAGTAATTAGCTTATGTGCTTAATTTGCTAACAACTACTTACTAAGTAATTAGCCTATAAGCTTAATTTACTAACAACTACTGTAAAACTCTAGTTAGGCTAGATACCCTAACACCTTTTAAAGAGCCCTGCGCTAAGCAAGACACTGCAGCTAAATTAACTATAGAGAAGGGCCTACATTACCTGTACAACAGAAGAGAGCTTAGAGCTCTATTATACTAATTACTCTAGAAGAGATTACCTTGCTAGATCCTACAGGCCTAGAGACAGTAGGCCTACTAACTAATTAGCTGCACTGCTAGCAGCACTACTGCTCTATCTGCTTCACTTTTTTAGAACCTAAAGCAGCATTACTAATTAATTAGCTACACTGCTAGTAGCATTACTAATTAATTAGCTGCACTACTAGCAGCATTACTAACTAGTTAGCTGCACTACTAGCAGCATTATTAATTAATTAGCTGCACTGCTAGCAGCATTAAACTAATACTAGCATAGGGAAACTCTTAAAGCTTAAGATGCAGGTAGACTCTACTGCCCTACTAACTAGCAAAGAGTACACACTAGCACCTAGAACACTTAAAAGTAGCGCTAAAGTTTATAGTAAAGAAGTGTTTAAGAAGAACTACATAATTAAAAAAAACTCTATAAATAGGCTTAGTAAAATAAGAAGCTAACAGTAGTTAAAACTAAAAAGGTCTTATAAAGTAATAATATACATAAGCTTTATAACTTTACTATTACTCTACTTATACTTATAACTAGTAAGAAAGTAGTTCTTATAAATAAGCTAGTCTAATATGTTCTTAAAACATAGACTTTCTGTAACTATACTAACACACTAGTAAAAGCGCTTAATAAAGTAAAAAAGAAACTACTAAAGGCTTAAAAACAAGTAGCTACATCTTAGAAGCTGCTAAATAAGGCTTTAGCAAAGCTAGCTAACTAAAACATTAAAGCTGCTACTTTAAAAGACCTACCTAAGCTAGCATTTATAAACACTCTTTACTTATACTTTTTAAGATAAATAAGTAGTGCACTTATAGTAGCACTAACTAGAAGTACTTTAAAAAAGCAGCTGCGCTTTAAACTTATAACTCTAGCTACACTAAACACTATACAGTTTATCTTATAAAGCTAGAGAGAAAGCTTATAATACTCTACTAAAGTAGTAGACCTGCTTATATTTATAAGTAATAATAACTATAACATTAAGCACTAGAAAGACCTGCTAGTAGGTAAGCTACTACACAACACTAACTACTTAATTTTTTTAAATAGTAACTTAGAGAACTATAAAAATGCATAAGCACACTACACTAAATTAAAAATAAGTAAAAAAGCTTTAAGCTACTTATAACTACACTTTAAAGTAATAAAGAAATATAACTAGTAGGTAATAGCTACTATTATTATTAAATTTTTAAAGAAAGCTTTTATTAACACCTACTAGCGCTTTAAAGCTAGGGCTAAGCTTTACTAGCTTAAGATAAAGTTATTTAAAAACTTTAAAAACTTTAAAGCTTAGTTTACTTAACTAGCTAATAAAGCTAAGCTACTGCTAAACTAATAAAAGAATAAAATCTATAATGCCCTCTTAGGCTTACTGCCTGTACACATAAAGATCTACTACTATAACTCTATAATAAGCTTCTTTAACTACTGCTACTAGGCTTAACAAATTATGTTCTCTTTATAAAAAGTAGCTATAAAGACTAGTGCTTAGCGCGCATAAAAAAGTCTAAAAAAGCTTACTTATAAGAATATTTTATAACTATAGGTTACTACTTTACTAGCATAAGTTATAACTTTACTGCTAACGTACTTCATAGGCGAGTTGCTTACACACCTGAGTTGCTTACTTTTGCTAAGACCCTACTATACTACTCTTTCTACACTAATGCATTTCTAATAACACTACTTAAACGCGTTAAAGAAATGTTAGATGTAGCTTATACTTTAGGCTTTTAAATAAAATGTAATACTTTCTAAGTAACGCGCTGCAGCTATCTATAAGGTCTTTTAAAAAAATAATAAGTAACTAACTGTTACAGCCAACAAACAGACCGTAATGACCTAACTAGCTGTCCCGCACAGCCTAAACAACGCCGGATGGAAGACGCTTAGCCCCGCGCTGAACGAATCACGTGACAGGACAGATAAGGAATGGCTCTAGCTTTTAGACAAAAGCCTAGCGGAGTGCACTATCTAATAGGTTATGCAGGCTTGCAGGCTATGCAGGCTATGTAGGAACAAGCATGCAAGCATGTAGAACATGCAAACCCTATGTATATAGTCTTAATTACAACTATAGTTAGAAGGTTATAATTACTATTTAGTCTCTACCTACTTAATAGACTAAGAGGCATTAAAACTTTTATAAAGAGGACATTGCCGCCTTATATATCTTGCACTATATATACCTCCCTTCCTATCCTTATAGATTAGGTTTGCTAGCTCCCTATACAGCTGCTAGGCTAAACTACAACCTGCCTTCTTTATTCTGCTAAACCTACACTCTGCTTAACAGACTGTACACCTAATCTAGCTAAGTTCTACCCCTTTACTACTAACATTACTATAGGCTGTTATACTTCTAAAAATACTATCTTACTAAAGTAAGAATTGTAACAGTAATTACTACTACCTGTAAAGTATAGCTACTACTACTTTAGACATTAGTATAACAGGTGCTTTAGCTGCTAGCACTAGCTAGACCTTTACAGCAACTAAAAAAGCATAAAATTAGTAAATACTTTATCTTTAAAATAAGCTTAAACAGCTTAAACAACACCTCTAGCTATACTTATATAAAAAAGGCTAAGAGCTTTAAGGATTATGTTAAAAAAGCACTTACTTATAACGTACTTCATGGGCGAGTTGCTCACACACCCGAGTCGCTCACTTTTGCCAAGACCCCACCAAACCACCCTTCCTACACCAATGCATTCCCCACAACACTACTTAGACGCGCCAAAAGAACATTAGATACAGCTTGCGCTCTAAGCTTTTAAATAAGACATAAAACTTTTAAAGAAATGTGCTGTA